GTCAAGTCCTTCCGAGTTGGTACAACTACAACATGTGCATAATTGTACATGTACAAGGAAATAAAGTTTAGAAAAATAAGTGTGAACCTAAATATAACGTTCCATAAATTGTTCTTTTTAAATTAAAAACAATAATTTCAATGCCAAAATGAACTTCATTTTGTTGAGGAAACATCCTAAAACCAACCCGACATCACATTTAGAAATGTGTTTAAGCTCTTATCTGTTGCATTTTTGTAAAGGAGTTTCTAATTTTAACATGACATTTGATACAAAGCCTAGAATCTTGCATGCATTATTTTTTTATTCTTTTTCCTTATCATTCGTTCCAAAATTCAGAATGCAAACAACTGAGAAATACAACAAATATTGACACAGCCACGGTTATCTGGTGGGGCAAGCCATTCAAATTTGATTTACAAGTTCAAAGTTCTTCCCGGAAAAAAAGTTACAAAATATCTCCGACATTCGCTGAACATTAGGAAATTAAAAAAAAAATTGGAATCAAAACGTGGAAATGGCGATGTCGTTTTTGCAGCCTTGTCGTAATTTGATTTAAAAGTTCTTGCGGGGTGATCGAGTGCGGAAGATTTAATTTGTCGGCGCTTCGATCTTCACATTATTTAAATGGAAAAGTGTGAGTGGGAAAATAGGGGAAAACAACATGGAATGACAATGGCGTCAGACATTACATTGCACTGCTCAATTTGATTTGAAAACGCAGCAGGAAACGGAATTGGAAACTTGTGCAAAGCGTTCACTGTTATCATTGCATTAAGTTAATGTGAGAAGCAATCCATTGATACATGTACCGTAGTTCACTATTTGGACTCCAGTCTAAAAGTACATGTTTGTTTCGAAAAAGATCATTAAATTTGAGATATCATTTTTTGGGTGTTTTTTTTTCAATTAAATAAAAAGGAGGGGGCCTAAAAAGGAAGCAGGTGGGGATGTTAAACATGAATTTTCATTTTGCCTTAGTACATCTTAGTAGATAATACATCACGGAGTAAATACAGTGTATTACAATGTAATACAAACTTGTGCTAACATGGCTAATGGTACATGCATTTGACCATTATTTGACACAAGTTCTCATTTCATAGAGTTTCATGTACATGTATATATGCTTTTCATGCTGATCCCCTCTGGTGTTTGGCAGGGTGCCATCCTACTCTGAATTGATCCTAGAGGTCAAACTCTTTGTCCTTGTAACTTTGCATGACAACAGGTGGACCAAAGTTCAAGCTGTGTCAGTCACAGATCTTTGCTTTTCATTCAGGACTCGATGTAGACTGGGGGCGTGTCCTTGTGAATGAGGAAAAGGCAACTGTCTGGAACTTATCATTGCTTGAAATTGGTTGGTATATGCCTCATATTCCACCTACATGCTCATACCAACACTAGTCCGAGTACCCAGAGATGCCAACCATTACTCTTTTGGAAATTCCAGCTGTCCTATACGCCAACATTGTGGTTACTCTGAAAAATACTATGGTTACTCTTAAACTTGACTGTTGTCTTATTTATACATTAGCTTTACTCTTTACAGGAAGAATCATTACTATTTTGTAGTCTGTAAAGTTGGCATCTCTGAATACCATACATTCACGTGTGCAGAGCCGTAACGGTCGAACGTCTGATAGCCAGCCAGTGGGAGTAGACTTTAAAAACCGTGACGTCATTTCGATCAGAAATGTGGACTAAGCTGTTGATTGATCAATTAAAATGCCATGTTTTTGTAATACAACGGGTTACGGAAGTCACATGGAAGGTGCCCGCTGAATGGTCAGAATCTCGAGGTCAAGACACAGTCTTGTTTTGCAATTAATTAATCGCCGAATCTGCAAGCACACAGTAATATTCCACAGACTACATGTACATACACCAACGCAAGTCACTGAAACAAGCAACACATAGGAGACCCCCCCCAAAAAAAATACCTATACTAGTTCCTGAACCATAAGAAACTACATGTACTGTGCCTGTTACTCCCTAAAACACCCAGATCACCCTGCTTGTTAATCCTTGTACCACCCATGCCCCAAATTTCTTGGAATCATCAGGAAATGATACATTGTAACACAATGTAATAATGTGTCAATGGGTTATTGTATGCCAATGACAACCCTCAGAATCTGAGAACCCCCCCCCCCTCCAATTTCAATGGCACCTTAGAGTTATGAGACACATGTTTTATCTAATATCGTTCATAAAATCACTGTGTATTGATGAAACTGGTAAAGTACCGATTGTTTGTGAAGTGTTGAACCTGGGAACATTGGAAGCTGCACCTCACTGGTCACGCCACAAAACATTCCCATTAGGCCCCAAAAAATCTCCGGTTTCTGGTATGGAGCTTGCCCCCAAAGTGGTGCGGTGACGCAGCTTTTTTTAATTTACCAGAAACCGGAGGGTTTTTTTGGGGGGGGGGGCCTTACTACTAGACTTTTAAATTATGATAGAGTTTTGTCTTTTGTGCACCAGGTATTGAATGGACACTGAAATGAATGGATACCAACATTTCATGGCAGTGACTGTGCCGCACCTTTGTATGAGACCAGACTGTATTTGTGTAAACTATCGCAGTTTATTATTTTCTCTGGATGATCTGGCACACATGACCTACATAAAGAGAAGTTTCGCTGAATTCTCAACACAATGGGGCCATTCATGGCAAATCAGACCATTGGCATCAACAGGGCTAATCACAACAGGACAAGTGCACTGCAGACATAACCTTGAGTGCATATAATGACACGCTCAAAACATTCCTCAGTGGATGTGCTGTACTAGAGTTTTATGGAAGTGTGGAAATTCACATATGATGAGGATTTATCACATGCCAATTGCCATGTAGTGTGTGATCATATAGCTAGGGTGTGATGCAGGAAGTATGGAGATTATAAACACTTGATTCACCATGAACTGCAATGTGTAATCAGGGCAATGACCTCGCGTAGGGAAATTCAAGCCTTTCAACTCAAGCCAGTCAGACACAAGCAAAGACAAGTGCGCTATCTTCCACTTCCATAATATTTTGTAGGTATTGAGGAATATACATGTGGTCCTTTTCGCACTATCCAAATGTCCATGTTGGACCAGCGGCGCACCCCCAGGGTTTGACCTTGTTGATACCGGTGCAAGTGGCGCCACCAACATCAAAACAGCCCCCCCCCCAAAAAAAAAAAAAAAATTTAAAATTCTGCGGCCAAAAATTGGGGGGGGGGGATTTTTTTGAACAATTTTCAACTTCTAAACAATTTGGAAAAAAAATTGTGAGCCCCCCCCCCCCCCAACCAAATCCTAGGTGCGCACCACTGTGTTGGACCTTGGTCCAACCGCAAAATTTTGGGAACCTGTGTCACACGGTATGTCACACTTGCAGTTTAATTAATAGCAAGAATCTACTGTAATGGCTCCCTATGTATGGTCCAGCGCTTTTGTACAATTCAGCTCTGATCAGGACTATAGGTTGAGAGGCTCTCCCTGAGTAGAAAATCCCAAATTTATGACCGATCCATATGTACACACCCGTGGAAGTGTGAACAGTGTGTCTTGTCGACCCGTGTTTGATTGGACCGGTTCTTGCATTTGATTTCTACACGGGCATGACATCTGGCTTGCTGTGTGAACACCATTAAGATGCAGGCCAGTTGAGGCATGGTTGAGGGTTACCAGCACATGATCACACACACTGCACAGTCACAGACCACAAACCAAACTATTTCTCCAAATTTTTCCACAACCCTCCAAGCCACAAAATAATGAGTTTGAGGTTTAGAGAGTTAGATTTAGAGAGTTGTCCTGATATTTTTGCACATTTCACAAAGCTTTTCTCGTTACGACCAAAATGATACAACTTTTACAAGTTAGTTACATGCATCATGGAGGTAGAAAATTCAACAAAATTTGCCGGCTTTTTTTGTTTATGATCGAAAGAATTTTATAATAAACAAGACCTTTTTTGGCAAGATTACCATATGCGAAGTTCCCTAATTTTCCTCTGTATTGACTAACAAGCCCTCAGATAGCAATTTCATGTCATCAAAGTCAATTTGAGCAGTGAGAAAATACAAGCATTTTCTTAGAAAACACTTTGCATTTTTCAGTCCACTCTCATAGGGTTTGTACACAGAGTGTTGAGTGAACTTCGTAAATGGAAATCTTTCCCCCTTTTTTTTCAAAGTCAAAAGACAGTGGTACAGAAACAAACATCTAGGGGACACACAATCATGCAGAGCTGGTAAGAAACACACAGTTCAAATTGCATTTTGACTGTTTCAAATCATAGAGCAAGGAACAGTTATGTACAACCATGGAGGAAGGAATTAGTTTAAAGGGAATATACAACATTTGCAAACATCGAAAAAAAAAACTACCAAGTTTTTGCGAAATACCTTAATAGGATGTTGGTAAATGACAGCCTGAAGCATCCTGTAAAATTATGGCACCTTGTATACTGTCATTTTCAAGAAAAGTTGTATTTTTGTATCAATTTCCAACGCTGATCGGCCGATCAGCGTTGGAAACAACTGGCTTTTTTTCAAATACTGGCCCCAATTGACCATTGCACTTGTTTGCAATCGATTACAAACCTATGAACGGGTACGAGCCAGCTAGACTGGTTCCCTGACCTTACAATTCCCCAATGTATGTAAACTGCTCTGTTTCTTCTTATATGGAGTCAGGGAACCAGACTACAGGAAAATGATCTTTTTTCTTGGTTTTTATAGCATTTTCGAACCCAAAACCTCCAAAAAATCAGTGCAACTATATTTGCTTTATATTTCCAACCCCCCAATTCCATCCATTTCTGAAAATTACAGCAAAAGCAAATGATGTATATTCCCTTTAACAACATGTTCTTGTACACAAGGATTTCCGTACATTGGCACACGATGACCTGCCACTGCGCCGCACGGCCACGGCGTGATGTGTACTTTACGAGCACGAGTTTTGCCGTGGAACACGGCACGAAAAAAACTCAGCAAACTCACCGATATTTATCCTTAAACTCTCCAGAATACGAACTTTGGATATATCCCCTTCGTCCAGATCCTCCTCCATTTCAAATTCCGAGCTTATTTTCCACGATTTCGGGCAAAAAAGTGGCTTTTAGTTCGCAATCAAATAGTGGAAACAGACTGCCTCAGCCAAAATACCATGCACATGTAGTTTATTATGAAGCACACACACAGCTGCGATTGCAATGCATTTAGCTGGATCTCGCGCGCGCAGCCAGCTGTTGGCTAGCTTTGCTTCATGTGAAAAATGTGGAAAACAACATTACTAAATAGGGGTGGTCAGTGTAAGTCAACGATTTCAACCTATTAGGATTTGAAATATTGGAAGACAATAATTAGAGATCTTGCCTTTTATCACATCGACGCTACAATACAATTTGAAAAAAACTACAATAAATTGTAGAAATACACACACTAAATAATTTTTGTTTGTCGCCACTGGCATCTGTTATTTTAACACCCCTTAAACAAAGTGATACGTTCCAAGAAACAGGTGTTTGGTGATTGGAGGAAACTTGTGAGTATAATCGGAATGTACCAACTTCCGGGTCGGAAACAATTCACTTATCCGATTGAAATTTGAAGTTTAAACGTCGCTCATTGACCAATAACCTCGATTTCGGGAAGGGGGGGGGGTGGTCGATGATATGCTTTGCTTAAGTCATTGAAGCCTCACTGTAGATGGAATGGAACCGAACAACAGACGGAACCGAAGTTTCGGAAACATCCCATGTTTATTGAGATGCAATAGAAGCCGAGAAATCAATTCGCCACGGGGGGCCTTAGGAGTTTTGTATGTCTCATTGGTATTCATGAGGAGATTGATATGAGGTGAAAATGTACTATGGGGGCTCCCATCAAAAATCCCACCAGGGAAGGTGGACAGAGTTCACGACATTTGCGGTAACAGTTTCGTTTTTATCTCCTTACAATGTTGTGACCTTTGGCGTAACAAACAGCCGTTGTTTTCCATCTGTATTAATCTCGAACTAATTTTCCCCTTTTGTCTTTCATTATTTTGAACTTGATGTGAAGTCGGGGTTGGCATACCAATTAACCTCCTCCCGTCTTACTGCAAAAAAAATCCTAAAGTTTCTTTTCCTGAAATTGAAACATTTAATTGGTTCTTGTTTGGGGCCTTGTTTGTTTAGCTCTAAACTACAGCCTGTACTACCTCATTTCCCGACCCCCTTTTTGAAAAATCCCAGATCCACCAAAGCATATTTAAACTAAGTTATGAGCATGCATGAATAGGTTGCTGAATGCCGACTACTAGCGCGTGACACCTTATAGCTTAACGCTAAAGTTGTAAACAAAAAGCAATTTCCCCCCCCCAAAAAAAAATGCAATGAACTGCCAGTTTAGTTATTTAAACACAAGGACAACCCGACCAGAATCAACCTTCAAGGCAAAAATGTGCGTATGTTTACGGGAGCTTTGCCCGCTAAAATAACGTTGCCATACCAACCGCTAATTTACCGTAACCCGTGACAAATGGCGGTACGCTTTTATCTTTCAACGGGTTGCGCACGCCCACGGTCATAATTATTTGGTTGGCGATGGTAAGATTAATTCCTTTTTATGCTTGGAGTAACCATTAACAATTCATAGCATCAGCTAATTTTAGTTGGAGCTCTAAAAACGAGAAAAACATTGTGAAGCTTTTAATACCCCCTCCAAGGATGTTATGTCGAATTATGTTAGTTTGTTGGTTGGTTGGTTGGTTTGTCTGCTAACAAGATAAGTCAAAGATTGTATGGACGGATTTGCACGAACAAAAAATTAGGGGTGGTCCTTGGTATAAGTACAAATCCATTAGATTTTGGAAGTATCCGGATCTGGGTCTGGATCCAGCATTTTGTGTAAGGAGTATTCACCATTTATGCGAGTATTTCTTTTGCATGTTAATGACAATATATGGCGGGGAATTGTTTAGCCTTGGCGGAGGTTTGCGCTCTCTGAGTGCTTTCTAGTTTTGTAATATTTTAGGCCCATCGCTTGAAATTGACGTGAGTTTTCTAGACTTTGGGTGCATAATTGTATGGATATCTTTTCAAAAACGTAAGGGCCGAGGGTTGTATTATACAGGACAGGGCCCGCCACGTTTTTCATTTTGGAAAAGGAGCTCGATCTGTCTTAGCGAACGTAACCCACCCTCAAACATTGTAAAATCCATGACACAGGCCCAGATTTTCATGAGGCAATTTTGATCTGTTGAGTTGGAATTGACACAGGTCTAGCAGCCGAGCCTAAAACAGCAGTGCAGATTGTAGGTTTACATTATTTATATTTCAAACTCCACCTAGTGATACTCCAAAGGCTGCTCATATTTCTTGAAACACCGTAAGTAATTGATCTGGAAAAATGAGTCGTTTGACATCGATTCAGCTTGCAGCTGACAAAGCACGCCTTGCAAGATATCGAATTGTGCATTCACTGTCTGCGTTTGCAGCGCGAGTCGGCGCCACGACCATGGCTGTGTAAATGAGAATAGGAAAACAGACTAGAGGGGGAGAAATGGGTCAGTGAAATAACTGGAGCGCAAGACATCGATATAAGTTGTAGTCAATCACTTGCACAACTGAATTTGTTTCATTCAATTTGCACCAAAAAAAAAATGGGCCTTCACTCCAGTAATGCTCTCTTTCCGAGGCATGGGGGGGGGGGGGAACTAATCCACCTAGTAGTATTTTTGCCGACAGAGTCTTTGTTCTTGTCTTTTGTAAAAGAAATCATAATCTCATTTTCTTTAGATGTATGGTTTGAGCGCCTAGAATAGCGCCACCTACTGCCAAATGGCGACCAGTGACTGCAGTCACTGCAGCGCTCCTTTAATAGCGCCCCCATGGTGTCGGCGATAATCGGCTGGTAAATCTTCAGGGGGGATGGTTGCGTTAATGTTCTGTAAGGTCTGTCGGCAATTTGAAGATTAATCATAATCATCTCGAATTTCCCACTTTTTTTCCCCCTCATGATCCCAAGTCTAGTCTGCGACACAAATGTGCGTCACTGTGCTCCTCACATCAACATGTACAGGTATTTTCTTGTTTTCCCCGAGTTCTGAAATCATAACATTCACCAAAGTGCGAACGAAACAAAGAACACACACAAAAGTCATAATTGTCGATCATTCATTCGTTCATTCGTGGTTCATTAAAAAATGACACATAGAAGCCCAAAGGCCGAATTGAGGACATCATATAATTAGTTTTAAAAGCAGTTTCTGTAAAATTGGATTGAGATAAAAATGATTCAAATTATACAAAAATTAAGAAAAATAAAGATTAGCTGAGAACATCTAAAATAAGCATACGATACAGATAACAACAAACACAAAAAACATGTCATAAAAAGATCATTTAAGGATTCATGCTCAGCGGGTCGGTAATAAATATGGAATAGAGCTATTGCGGAATCGATTGGTTTTACATTTGTATTTTTGGGAATCAGCGGTGTGCCTGATTTCTTATATTTTCATAGACCTGCAATTCGTGCTGAAGATTTCTCAATTTGTAAGATACTCCAAAATGACTTTTTTGTGTACAGTATGACCGAAAGATCTACCGAACAGAGGGCACGAACGCCCCTTTAATTTTAATGAGACACGGTCACGTTGTTCCCCGTTGATAGCCCGAGCCCTGGGCTGAGCACGCACAGCGCGAGAATTAGAAGGCAACGGGCGACAGTGGCCAAATTACGGCGTAGTCGATTATCCTTCGCCCACCGAAATGGATGCCTCGTTGGAGTCACGTTTATAGAATGGTCTAATTTAATATTTTTGACACTAGAATATAAAATATGAAAAAATAAGAAGTCCATTTTCTATGAGTTTTGGGGTTGGTTTAAAACATTAAGTTTGTTAAAGTAAAATAAGGAATGTAGTTAGTTAGTCTGTGCGATCGTTAAACTTCATTTCTCTAAAGTTAACATTTTATTGAAATTAAAATTTGTGAATAACTCAGAGTAACACTTATTCAGTTCGATCTTAGGGCAAAAACGTACTCAATGAACGTGCAATTTTTGTGTACAATTATTGTTGTCGATCGGCAAGAGTTCATTATGAATAGCCCAACCTAGTGGCAGGTGGCTTCAATAGCGGCAACCGTGAATAGCGCCCCCTGCTGTCTGGTCACGATTTGCCCAAGCTCCCTTTTTCGAATGTTAGTAGATTTACTTCAATCTAAAAATTAAAGGATGTACACATAAGTGGGTTTTTTTTTATTATGGCAACATGTAAAATGCAGCATGTGGCTCTAGCATTTATTCAAAGCTGGCAACTCTTTTATCAGGTCCTACGTCACTCTCTACTAGTGGCAACCCGACGGCGGATCGAACCAGAAGCTTGGATCTTGGATGCCATCTTGGTAGTTGCTGTACTGGTGGAAGGAGCTCAGCTTCTTATTAGGGCCAGCGGTGGGCGTGGCGAACCAGGCGAACATTGGGTGGCTGGGGGGCAATGAGCCCATTTCTGCGGGGCACAAAACCATGGGATGTGGTTAAAAAACAACCATAAGTAGGAAACTGTTAAAATAAAAGGTCATAAGTTTAGAATACATATAATATCCGGTTTGTTAAGTAAAAACGTCATACACGCGCGCGCACCACTGATTACTAGCACCCATTGGGTAAATACTCAAGATGCGTTAGCTTCCTGTTCCAATGGTTCGAAAGCTAGTTAATGGCCAGTGGGCGTGGTTTAAACTGAACTGACGTCACGCTAACGAACCGGATAGACGAATCCGGGCGTGCGATCACTGTACACTCATTATGGCCCCCTTTAATGGACAAACCATTGTGCATGCTATTGTAAGTGGCTGCCCGTGACGGATTATCTGAAGCTTGGCTGGCTCAATAGACCTTACCATGCTGCCACCATTTTAGTTGTGTTCCCTTTATTCAATAACAGTACTGAATGATTTATTTAGGGCAAAAGCAAAAAGGAACCAGACTATTTTCCCTTCCAGCCTCGCTTTGGTTACGTCGATTTCAATAGGGAAAAAATCAAGATGGCCGCAACATGATAATGGTCTATGGATTCACCACTGAAGGGAACTTTTGTGGGGTAAAGTTGACACGTGTTCCAATTGGTATAGGAAAACTAACTTTTCATCCCTCCGGTGTTCCCCTTGGTATGCGTCTTGGTGGCGAAGATGCTGATCTGGTACGGGATACACCCCTTAGCCCCCACCCCGTACCGCACCATGAGGTCGAAGCTCGGCGATCCACTCGGTATGAGGAAGTGAAACGAGTTCACTTGGAAAGCGTCTCCCAGACCAACTGAAACCGTCCCGTCAAAGACTGCAATGCCTGTTAGTTTTTGGAAGGTGGGGTCAACTTAACAATACAGTAATCACATCAGAAATATAATACCAACAAGCAATAGGTCTGAGGCCTAATGACGTCACGCTTTATTTACATGTGCGCTTTCCCATGGTGGGCAGTCCATACTTTGTCTGGTGTCCCGACTTCGTTCCTATAGGAAAGTGCGTATTCTGTTAACAACGCCATTACGTTATTAGGTCTTAGGTCAATTACGGTATCGATGATCTACCAAATGCACCACTGATGCTAACAGAAAAACAAACCGTGTCATTCTTATGGAATACAGGAAAGGTACAAAATCTAACCCCCTCCCTCCTTCCTCATTGTCTTATAAGTCTTAATGACACATAGTAATCCTTCAAACTTTAAGTTCTCAGGGTAAAAGTATTATAGGAGAAAATAAGTCGACAGAAACCACTTACCTGGAATGCATTGCTCATGGAACGGATAACTCAAGGACTTGCGCGTACACTGGCCGTCTTCAATGATGTACTTCTTCCCCTAAAAAAGCAATCCACAGTTTGAAAAAGAACAATGTTGATGCCCTCTTAAAGACGATTTGAACATTTCAACAGCGCTTTCAGATGAAGTCTGTGACCTCACCAAAACAAAATCTTGGCGACATCGTGTGACAATAACACTTCGGTGACATCGTGTGATAATAAAATCACGATGACATCGTTCAACAATGAAATCTCAGTGGCACCATGTGACAATAATATCGGTGACAACGTGTGACTATCCCCAAACATTGGTAACTTCATACAACAATAGAATCTTGGCGACATCATTTGACAATAAAAGCTCGGTGACATCATGTGACAGTAATCTACAGGTGACATCGTGACATAATACATTCGTTTTTGTTTGGTTCTGAAGCAAACACGTGTTAACATTGTGTTATGCATAGTGCTTACCAATAATCTTCGCAGCAAAGAACATGATTCTGTTCAGAGTTGATTAGTCCGAATTTAAAGGTTATAGAAACAGTAGCAACAAACAAAATGGCGTATTTCTGTGATGAACGCATGCGCAAGGTGATGCGCTGAGCTTCCTATACCTTCTTGTAGTCGTATATAATCTTGACCTTCACTGTGACCCCTGTGACGTCATTGTAGACGTGGTCAATCTCGGCCACTTGCTCGTTGATGGCGTCGTACGCCATCTCGGTTCTGCCTTCGAAGGTGGTGACGGTTCCATTATTCAAGATGGTGTCGTAAGTCTCTGATGTCCAAAAATAAGTGTCATTTATGGCAGCAAATTATTAAAGTGATTTCAGATGAACAAAGATATAAAAAAAGATAACCCCTAATTGTTATGTTAATAAGTCTGTCAAGTTTTTTTTTAAATAAGGAACCTACCCAGTGGCCTAACTAAGCAGAGCAGAGGTCCGTGTGCCCCCCCCCCCCCCCCCCATTTAAAATCTTGAATGTCACAAAACAATATATAAGTTGCCTTCAGTGCTCCCTTGAAAAACCCCGTGCCCAGGTGCCCCTCCCCCTAGAAGTTTAACCCTTGCCGCTGAACCTACCAAGTAAAGCAGTAAACTGCTTGGGATTGCAGCATGGTGCCTGATTAACAGCCGAGACAGCACTTCCGAGAAACATTACCAGCAAAGTCGCCGTAGAGGCAAGGGTGTGCGTCATTTTGCCACTATTTTGAAGAGGCCACGGTTGAGTGTCTGCTTTCAAACTCGTTGGGCCAACTTTATGCAGTCTGTATATTTTAATACCCCCCAGTCTAGCCCTTTTGAAAGACACACATTAATTGTAGTTGAAAGCAACACACACACACAAAAACCTAGTGCAGCACTGCACACAGATATCGTGACACAATGGTTGCCTATTTTATCCCTTTCTCAATAGGTACACGTATTTGATTTCACCCCCCCCCCCCCCCCATCGATCATACGCCGACCATTTACACACAGCCTTGGCATCTGATAAAGGTTGAAAGGCAATCCCAGGATCTGTATATTACGGGCGGCTGACTCTTTTGAAACTCCGAAGAATGAGGTGGAAAGGTTTCCAAAAAAAATTATTCGCCAAGGAAAATATGGTGTGATCCAAGAAGAAAGACTGTTATACCTCTGCCTTGAATACTGTATTTTCATTGGCCTAGAACGATAACGTGTTAAGTTTGTAAAAAGTGATAGCACCGTTTAATATGAGCGTGCTATGACATGTACGTATGTGTCAAACGCTTGCAATCGTTGGTACCCACGCTATTTTCACCCTGTTTTCACATACGAGTGGGAGCAGCGAACTAGCAAACGATCAGCTGTTTCGAGCACGATGCATGCCATTTGACCTTCGATTGTCATGATTGCTTTGTTTACTGCTGTTAGTTTTCGTGATTTTCACATCAAAATCCAAATAATCCATGACAGAGGTATAACAAAACAATTGTTGACTGCTGTGATGTGGGATATGACGTGACATTTTGAACACATCCGGGGCACCTAGCAATCTCAGCGCATCGCCTCGGATGCTATGACCCCTCGGGCGTTCAAAACGTCATATTCCACATCACAGCAGTCAACTGATAGAAGCATTGATCAACACGTATTGGGGAAAACGAAAACAATCCGCAACGAACGACTCTCCAAATAACTACAAACAAGCCTTGGAAAACATTCAGCCAATTGACAAACAGGCACAAACAATACGCTGCAGTTTACTTTATTCATCAATCACCCTGAACAGAATACACGAAGTCACTTGTTCCTATAAACTTGGTTTGTTTTCAACAAGCAAAAAAACGTTGTATACAGCAACTGTGATGTAAGATCGGTATAGGTGAAAGTTGAGTGAAATTGTATTGAAGTTTCAAATCTTAAAATGAAGTGGTATTTTCCTCCTTTGAAGTTAGTATGTTATCACAGTGCACTATGTCCTTTCAGCAATGCATTTCCAAAATATTGATAACAGAAGATTGCGATTGCTTCCTATACTTTCAATGGTGTCTATATAACCTGGTAGGCCTAAGAAAACATTTCCAAGTCAAAATGAAAATGGTAAACGGGAAGGTATTTCAAAAACGTCTTTTCATGCCATTTCACTACATTCTTAAGTACAGTACTTTGATAATGAAAAGAAAATGACTTCCAAACCTTAAGAAAATCATAAAATCATTTTCTTAAATCATTACTCCGAATAGAGAATATACTCATCATTTGAAATCGCAAAATTCTAAATTTGCTTTGCTACAAAGAAACTACCTTTTCTTTTTGCAAACTCATATCAAAAATAAACAGTGTTTGGGGCCGGGGAGGCTCTTTAGATGGCAACAAAATTCTTCCCTTTGAATTTTGCCATCAGTCGACCGGCCATTTTCTTAGCGGATGCCTTCTGTTCGTCGGTGGGCAACTTCTGGCATTCCGGCGGCGGCTTGAACCAGAAGGACGGGTCTGCGATTCCTTCCTCGTAGTCGAAGTACTGGGAACGGACGGACAGCGGGGCGTCAGCACCGACGGCCAGGCGAGATTGGTTGAAGGGAAGGGGAATGGATACGGGTCCTGTAAATTCAAGACACAAGTTTAGTTTCTAAATAAGTGATAATTACACTTCTCCATGTATGACTGAGGGAATGCAAGGTATTTGCACAAAACATGAACATAGTGACCACAGTGTGTTGAAACTCATAACTACCCTATAGCAGAACTCAACCCATCAAACCCTAACGGCATGTTTTGTTGGAATCTCTGTCAGGATGGGTATGGCCTACAGTATACCCTAAACTGACAGTCTTTTACATTGGGTTGGCACACTTCCAGAAACAAAGTCAGAAATATGTGTATGCAGTTTCCCATTAGGCCTATGGTGTTGGAATTTGCCAGGATGGGTATGGTTCCCATAGTAAATCATGCTGGGATTGTTAGCCAGCATCTTAATTATACTTTTTAGTACAGTCATGAACAACCCAATGTTCCACGTGAATAAGATCACAGATTCAGCTTTACTCGGACCAAACGGAGAGTCTGTTACTCACCGGCAGAGGGAGCCCTTGCTGAGCCACTAGGGGGCGCCCTCCGAGACGAGAAGATATACGGGATGCAATTCTCTGTCCCGACGACAAAGTCGTATACATTGTCGTAACTCTGCGCCGGTACTGCCAGTGAGAACAAGTTGTTTGCAAAATCTCCCAGACCGAAGGTGAAAGTATTCACGAAATGGGCAGATTCTGTTTGAAAGAATTTAGTGCAAAAAGAAAGAATATTTTGGGATCAAGCGAACATGTTTCGAGGTACAGACCTTAAAAGCATATGCAGCACCTGCCGTATTGTTATCAAAAAGCTTATTACTTGGATTAAAAATCGTACTTGTATTAACCACCCCGTGAAATTGTTCCGTCTGGCGTGCTGTCATTTAGAAAAAATCAAGAACATTAATGTAGGTGATTTCTAACGATCAGTCAATTTTATTGACTGATTTTTGGAAAGATTAGTGCTATCATTGACAAAATTGTTTTCCATGATCAAAAGTATGCGTTGTTTTTCACTATTTTCTCGAAAAGTATATTATCAACTGAGCTGAAAGTGCAACAGGTTAGGTTTTGAACGTCCTTCTTTGGATTTAAAGTGATGTTATTGGGAACGAACAATTAAATCCACCGTAAGCAATCTATCATAAAAATGCCAATAAAATATGATAATAGGGCCTTAAAAATTCCCAATAGGGCCCATGTGCAACATGCATTTAGTAATCCAAACTGCAGAGGTCTTAAAAATGCACCGATTTAATGACGACCCTAGAAGTCAAATGTCACCGATTAATGTCTATCATTTCCCGCTTTTTTGCTTTGTTTTTTTTTTAGTTTGATTCACTCACGTGGCACACACAGCTCGAGGAACTTTTCAGTCAGTGCTTCCTTGGTGCACTTGCCATCCTTGATCACGTACTTCGTAGCCTGCAAGCAACGTATAAGGAAATGAAGCAGTTAGCCGCCATGTTGGATTCAGCCATTTCGTGTGGCTGTGAAATTTCTATTAAGGCACCAAAGATACAGAAGTCAGAGTACTATAAAGCAACATATTTGTGGTACATCTTGACCATGTGGACGTGCAGTATGCAAGTCTGGTCAGTCTAAGGCTTCAAACGAAATCATTTGGCTTCGCTCTCTACTGTGTTGCAAACTGTTGAAGTAAAACTTCCTCTTAATAAACCAAAATTGAAAATAATTTTGTTTGTCGATGATTACAATTTTGCTGCACTGTCGGGGTGGGGGCTCAGTGAAGGCTTCAATCATAAGCTTCAGGGGGGTCAATTATTGATGGCAAAACTAGAAAATTAGTATGATGTAACGATACCATTGAGATGTGAGTCGCAGGACATATTAAGTTTACATGTTAGAGTAAAACAAAAACAAATTTTAAGATTGGAATAAGCTTCTCAATTGTTTCAGTTACTATAAAGTGGTATTTGTTGTGTTGGTAAAAAGAAAATCGCAACAGCGCCCTCATTTGATGCAAATTAAGACCCATGTATACCTGTGGGTAGAGATAGATGGTCTTAGAGGTCTCAGTTACTCCAGTGTCGGCGTCGTACTGCCACAGTATCTCAGACCGAAGCTCGTTGGTGGCGTCATAAGCCTGATGCACGTTCTGTTCCAGAGAGGTGACGACGCCATCCACCAAGTCATTGGTTACCTCAACTATCACACAAGATTAAAAAAGAACCAAGAAATATTGAACCTAATTGCTTGAGCTTGCAGAATCCTCCAAAATCCTCCACTGTGCAGGAAACGAATGGCACACTCTTTGTACCTACCAAGTTTCAAGTGACATCAAAACCATAATTATGTAAAATAATAGTGGCTGGGCTCTACCTCCCTCAATCCTCCAAAATCCTCCACTGTGCAGAAATCAATAGAACATTCTTAAGTACATTTCCATCAAGGAATGCATGTAGAATGTATGATCCTGACGTCGTTTGTTTTTACTTCAACGATGCTCAATCTTTGCAATTTGTTGGGACTGCGAAACATTTCTAATTATTTCTCTTCAGAAAATCCCCCCCCCCAAAAAAAAGTCAATAGGCCTTCACCCTGTGAACCACCGAAGTGACGCTATGCACGGCCTGATCACAATGTGCACGCAACCATCATTCCAATTTTAGGGAGTAACCTCAAAAATCAGAAACACGAACTCACCTAACTTGATGGTGTATCGTTTGGGCACGCAGCACGGGGTGGGTTCGTCCGCACCCACGGCCGCAAAGCACACCAACAGGAGGGTAACACTGCGAAGAGAACCCATGACTCTACTTCGGCAGGAATCCGATCAAGACTCGGTGACTGATGGTACGGTGCAAATCTTCAAACGAGTGTTGTATAAGCGTTGTGCCGTCTCACCGTACAGTACGTACAGACACCAACATAAGGTGGGGAGAATACACAATTTGACCCAGACAGAATCAACCAAAGACGGATTTATATAATAGGCCTTTCAAAAAAATATTTCCAGCCAGGCCTACCGAGGTCGTGGCTAAGGATTAACAATACATAACCAGGGTCCGTATTACGCATCAGCGGTTCTCTTTTGGTAAGATTTTTTCCCCCACCAATGCAATAAGTCACGCTTTCTGTACTGATAAATGCATAATTCGGCTATACAAAAAACACGGCAGTGCTTGCTAGGCCACCTTTTGAAAAGATTCTTTACAAAAACGCATATGCCCAACTCAAGGTGTGTTTTTGTACACTGACACGTTAGAGTGTTGAAGGTTTCATGTATGCCGTATGCATACTGCTTTCCTCCCAGAATTTTTTGAATTTCGTGTTTTTATTCGTATCATATTCAGCATCATAACTTTGAAACAAAAACAATCAAGTGTTTTTTGATCAGACGCCACAACAAATGTTAGCCTGTACCAGTCCCTAGCCATCAGCGCATAAAAAACTAAATTACGGTTCAGTGTTTCACATTGTTAGAAAGGCACATGCTGCACCTAATGGTCAAGATTTCTGGACAAGCAAATGATCCAGTCCAACTGCAGGGCCAGGGCGGGAGGCCGGGCAGGTAGTGGGGCAGTCACATTGACTACCGGGCGGGTCAGCAAAGTGTCTCGAACCTATGTTTTCTCATGACTCGTAAAAGTATTAGCAGACAACTTTTTCTACTAAAGTTCGATAGTTCATTCGGTAAAACAACGATCAAATTAATAATTCATAGATTCTTTTCTAGTTTCAGATTATTGTCTTACTATAATTGCCAGATAATATTCAACTTATATCCTCTTAATGCCTTTGGATCAGTATTCATGTTTTAGAATGCATAAATTGATAACCAACGAAAGCCTGAATTTTAAGAATTCATCACTTTTTCTGCACAAATTTATTTCCCCGTACCTATATGGCATACAAGTGCCCTCTAAAAGCAGCCTATAGTAAATATCGATAGCTTGTTTGTATCAACATTTCTTGGCGAATGGACAATAAGATAAGATTTAATTATGTGTTCAAACTATGAAGTTAACTGTACGGTAACATTCCGAGTTGTATTGCGTGACTTCAGGTAGTTGGTCAGTGGCCCAGTTTGTTTCCTTTTCTAGCAATTTTGCTATTATTTGTTCACCTGGTATGCGAGCAAGATTTAGCGGTTATTCATCGCAGTTTGCGAAATTCCATTAGCTGTTAGAGATATGGCAACCAAAATATGAGGGCGCTATTTAACCTAAACGAAACAACGTCCACAGTTGCCGCCATATCTCACAAAGGCCAATGTCTTGTGTTCTTTGAGGAGGTGGGATGCTCCAAATTGGTATGGAGGCTGTTTTTTTTCTTTTCTTTCCGCGTTCTCTACGGGCTGTATATCGCCTCGTCCCCACCCATCTGCCAACCCATGTGGAGCCCGGTAGATTTTGTGTCAATTATTATTCCGACATAGAACTTGTTCACTTCGTTTTACTCTTATAGTTAATATCATAATTCACTCAATCAATTAGGACCAGATGTTGTATTTTAATATCGAACTTCATTTCAAATTGGTGTCGAAACAGGCACTTTGCATGTTTTGCTGGTAGGGCTTATAATGCAATGATGACAAAAACGTTTGGTGACGAGAATATTCTGGCACTGCCAAGTGTAACTGTGATCACGTGTCTAATTAACATGAAGCGGTACCAGCCATCACAGTACTATGGCGATCATTCAAATGATCCTTGATTGCCATTGGATGGACGTAGTCAAGTCACACAAATAAGTTACATGCCCCACCCCATACGCAGGACAGGAGGGTATAAAAATCGACATTCATACTGCTCTCGATAACACTCCTGCTTCTGTTACCATTTTGACAACAACCGATCCTGAAGATTTTGCATCCAAGATACGCAATCGTTTTCGAGACAGAAATTCTCGGTATGTATACATGATGTAGTCGGTCTTAGATGTTGCAAGATTATCATTTGAGGCTGTTCAGAAGTTCAAACTCGGACTTATTTTTGTTTCAGACAAGATGAAGGCCTTTACCTGCTTGGTTCTTCTAATTTGCTTGGGGTGCGTTCTCGGCTTACCATTCAATAAAGGTAATAGATGAAACGAACATGCCACCACTTTCAAAGATGTATAATGATTTCTATGGCAATAATTATGATAGTTAAAAGTAAAGTTCCGTTGTCCAAATACGCGGGAAATGTAAAGACTGACATTAGTATAAATATTTTGGGAAATATGTTCTTTTTGTAACACAAGTTATAAGCACAACATAATTGATCAGATAACCTGATATAAAGTTAAAAGGAATTACCCCAAGAGTGTCTCCCGCTTGCAATGCAACGCACAATTTAGCTGTAGATGTTGTCATGCATGAATTCCTGATAATGGCGCTCCGCGTTTTACAAATCGTCGCTGTCTGAAATATATACCCTCGATTGATCGTGGTAAAACAAATTGACATGCATTAGGTCCTATAACGTTCAGTTCTAACATTTCAAACAACAGGAGGAAACGGCATCTTTATTTTTCCCCATTTAGAGTCTCCGCAGGAATCGGGACGTAGGCAAGAAAAACGTACTGATATCCTGGGACAGCGCCAGAGTAAGTATTTATTTGTATTTTATCTCTGTTGCTATAGCTTTGTAAAGAGCAACACTTTCTCAAGACTTCCCTAAGTTTACAGTATTGCTATTGCTTCTAGCATCGTGACTTTGGGCATGATCCTTGGCTACATGGTAAACGTGGGTTTATGGCTTCTGACTAGCCCCCCTAATTGAGCAAGGACAAATTAGAGCTGGATAGCTCAGTTGGTAGAGCACCGCGGAACGGTAATCCGCAGGTCGCAGGTTCAAAACCAGCTCCAGTAAAAAAAAAGTCAATTTTGATATTTTTTTTTCAAAGACTTGTTCACCATATTGTTCTAATACCGAAGGAGTGGAAGTTTTACTCCTTGCAGTGTTTTTTTCACCGTTGGCCATAGTCAAAACCACTTCCACTCTTAAATAAAAATATAGTAAACCATTTTACTATCAAAAATAAAATTATACCGACCAAATCATTGTTAAAAACTTACTTGGTTTGTGACGCTATACAACATGACAACTTTTGAATGGAAATTGAGATCCAGAGTTATGTGTTTTCTTGAAATATACAGCTTTACTGAGCTAACGCTTCATCACGGTTAGTTGTTAAACACCCGTCTTTAGGTTTTGAGCACTTTTGTTGCTTCAAACGAAAACAAACGCACCATGTAAAAAGCGGGTCCAAAATTAAGAAAATGAATACTATTTTTTTAAAATGTATTCTCAAATTACTCTTAAGATGGCCTTAAAATGCAGGAGAAAACATCAAAGATTTAAAAATGTTCAGGGGCAAGCCCTGGACCCCCCCCCCCCCCCCCCACTCAAACAGGGTGTCGCATGCTTAAGGCACGCCTGTTATATGAACCACCACTTTCCTCACATCTATATCCGCCCCTGATTGTTTTCACTCGAAGACCAAGTTTTTTAATGACTTTGACGTTAATACAAAATATAAATATTGCTATAAATGTTCATTGTTCTTTCTTGTTTCAATCTATTTAGTATCCACGGCCCGATGCTATTTAACAGGTTGTCCACCTGGTCAGCGCTGCGATTTAACCTTTGGTTGTGTGTAAACGCACAAGGTATGCAGTTCGGCTAAGATTTAGATTTTGATTTTGTGAGGGCGTGCTAAACGTGCGTATGACGTATCAATTCCTGCGATTTTCAGTCTGGATATTTTAAATCAGATGTAGCGATAGATAGAGATGTGTAACACCCTTCAGTCAGGACGCCCTCATCGAGGAAAGCTGTTCAATATAGACAAACCTGCAGGCGCGGATGGGGGGGGGGGTTTCAAAAAAATTCATAGAAATACATTTAAAAAATAATGCGAACCCCCTTCCCCCCCCCCCCCCCCCCCCGCTCTGACGCCCCCCAAAATATACTGGTAATTATGTCCGTCTGTGCACAAAATTCGGACAGAGCAAACTTGTTTAGGGGGTCAATATAGTATTAATAATCGTCGGATTTGAACAGCGCCCCCATTGGAAGTATGGTATGAGCCCCCATTCCCCCCCCCCCCCCCCCCCCCCCCCCCCCCACCTATTGATTTTACGGAGGCCAAGTGTCCGGACCAAAACAAACTCTGTCTACATTTCAGCAATGATTTGCTGATGACCTCCCCCCCCCCCCCCTGCAAAAATTCCTGGATCCGCCCCTGACATGTCAGTAAGGCCCTCTGTCGGGGGGGGGGGGGGTCAATAGCCTGAATCCAACACCAGCTATGTCAATTGTTCTGCCCTAGCTGGATGATTTATAGTTTAGAATTAATAACACTAATGGTTCTTACTTCTTCTTGGCTTTATTCAACATCAGAACTCTCGTACAGAAACACTTTTAAAGCGAAAGTTTACCGTGATTTTTGTCTGGTCTCTTTTTACCACAGGAGAATGCAACTTGCGGAAACGGATGACATTACTTGCAGTAATCAATAAATGGTGGTAGGGTTTTCTTCAACTAAACGTTTAGTGCTACAAGATGACAGACTCTGCTCTATAAACGTCGGCAAAATCTTGACACTATTGAGAGCAAGGGTTTTCTTTGTTATTACAATGAACAAGCTTACAAGTTGGGCCGCGGATGGCGCTGAAAGAACGTGAAACAAAACGGTCAGACAAAAAAACCCCACAAAACACATTTTTTTTCATGCTTTTATTGTTTCATTTTATTTATTCATGCATATAGTCCAGAAAGGAAATAACTAAATCTATATAGACATTAGCGACATAAATAGAAGCTTAAATTCAATAAAGAAATCAAATTCTGGGCTCGACTGAAGCTTGTCACGAATTCTTTCAGTAAACTCTTTCAATTAATTAGGTCTCCCGTAATGGTTTCTCAGTTCAAGTACCACTTTTCATCTGTTTCAGTCAGAAAAAAATAGGCGCAATTTTGCATAACCTTGATTATGTTATCTACCATAAATTAGTTTAAGATTGTCAATGCACTTCGCACCATACGACACAAGTATGAATTATAATTAAAGGAAACTGTTATACCAAAAGCAAAATCACATAAAATATTCCAATTAGCCGTTCCTTAAGGCGGTCGCGTTATTTTTCAATGATCAAAGAAAATGTGCCACATGATTAGAAATCGCCCCACAGTGAATGTCAGTTCAGTATTGTTAACATTGGACAAGGTTCAGCAAAATTTAAAGGGAATTTACATCATTTGTCTTTCCTGTAATTATTTTTCAGAAATAGATGGATTTGGGGGATAAGTATATTTCATAGCAAATATTGTTACACTGACTTGTTTGAAGTTTTTTTTTGACCCCGCTTAAATTGCAAAGGAGCAATTTGTAGACGTCGGGGAATTGAATTTGGTCAAGGAACCAGTCTACTAGGCTTGTACCAAAGATGTGTAATCGATTGCAAACAAAATTCAGACTAACTAAATATGGTAAATTGGGAGCAGCATTTGAAAAAAAGCCAGGTTTTTTTTCAAACGCTGGTCGGCCGACCAGCGTTGGAAATTGATACAAAAATGACTCTTTTATTGAATATGTCAGCACACCAGCTGCCATGATTTTATAGGATGCTTTAGACTGTCATTCACTAACAGTCCAACGAGGTATTTCATAATAATTTGGCAGTTTTGTTTTTTGATGTTTGCAAATGTTGTATATTCCCTTTAAACCATGATTTTGTTTCTTGAAAGACACATAACCCAGATGTATAGATCTAATTAAAGTATAATCTTAGCAGAAGATAAAACTCATGCATTTATTAATTTCAAGTGTTTGTCAATTAACCAGGTCTCAAACCAGTACCGTTTTCACTGCAAAACTGCAGTGTAAATTGAACACCGGTAGTCCTATATAGATACCACCGGTGTCAAATTGACACTGCTGTTTGAATTGCAGTGCGTGTCGTACGTTTGCCTTCCTGATCGAGAATCCCTTTTAGTCAGTTTTCTTTTTCCAAATATTGTCGCTGGAGTTGACTACCCACACCAGGCACGACAGAGACTCAACTTGCTTCGCGGCCCCTCCGATCTGATGCCAAGTGCTACCCCAGGGTGTGGCGGGCGTCACACCCCCTCGATAGTAGATCGCATCCCCCGAGTTAACCCCGTACACCATGTCAGCCGAACTGATATACTTGAGCGCGCCTGAGACCTGTCTCCACCCAGTGCCGTCTGGGTCAGAGGGCAGGTCACCGTAAGTACCCACCCTGTGGTAGATATTATCGCCCGCATTCACACCCCACACCCCGGAGTTACCCACCGAGATCTGCTTCAATGCCCCTCCAATCTGCCTCCAAGAGTCCCCGCCCTGGTTGCAGTTGCTTGCCCCAATGCGGTGATAGATGTTGTCATTCACGTTAACCCCCCAAACATGCCCATTTTGACTAACACTGACGTGTTTCAAGGCCCCAGACACCTGTGCCCATCCCGTACCAGTTGGATTAGTCGCGGATATGCCTTGTCTATAATAGATGTTATCGTTTGAGTTAACGCCCCACACTACGTTCTTCCCCACGTCAAGCTGTTTTAGAGCCCCACCGATTTGTTGCCAGGCCGCACAGGTTGCGCTCTCTTCCTCACCGTACGAGTTGCCTCTGTAGTAGATGTTGTCGTGAACGTTGACGCCCCATACTCCTGAAAGACCCACTGATACGTGCTTCAAGGCTCCAGGGAGGCGACTCCATGCCGTGGTCGCCGGCTGGCAAGTTTGCCCAAGAGCCTCAGTGATGATGCAGAGGGCCCACACCAAACTGAAGGCGGAAAAAGAAAAACAAAACACCTCTAAACGTCTTGGGTGCATACATGAGCCTCGACTCCAATGACAACCTCTTTTCCATGGGTACGATCCTGCCGCGCCATGTTGGTTCCCATCACGCCTTGCGTGATCTAAACACCTGTGGTCAATACCAGACCAAATGTTTGCCGAAGAGGAACATTTGGTAATCTTTCCCGTTTTTGTGGGAGACGAGAATGGTTACGTTTCCAAAGGAACAATTATTTTGCTCATCCCTAGACCGATTCTAGCCTTGACCAATGCTGTCTACATAGCCAAGTTTATTTTAAAATCTGAGCTGAACAAACGGTCCGCGGCACACGTACGCCGCGCGCAGCCCCTAACTAGCTCCGCTTTGCCTGGCTGTGCGTTCCCCCCTCTGATCTCTATATAAAGACTGGATGGCTCATATGCATACAACATTCACACAGTAGACTTTGCATGTTGACCATTCGCCCCCGGTCTCACGAAGATGGCCGCGTATAATACGAACGTTCTACGCGTAAATACGCGCGCGTTGTATCAACAGTTGACGCGCATTTTGGTCACGTACACATGATGTTCTAAAAGGGACACATTTCCGTAGTGATTATTATTTCAAAACGCCGAAAAAGTTATATTTGCGGCATTTTAGTAACCACGACGTAAGAAAAATTGTAGTTAACCTTGGTCAGTGATGGTGGTCAAAATATAAGTCAAGTGAACCGCGACGTTACAAAAGAAATTATGCTGTCTATAAAAACGACAACTTGTCCTTTGTAGATCACCAGCCGGTCTCACCTATATCGTCGCTTTGCTCACGAAGTGACAAAAACCTCCAAAATCGATAATTATTCGATTTTGAGTTTTACTAGCCATTTTATTATAGTTGTCTCAAGGAACAATTTGACCAAGTTTCAAGGCAAAATATTGTTTACTTTCTTAATTATTGTAAACAAACAATTGACAAAAAGCCTGAAATCGGTGATTTTCATTTTCACAAAGTGTAAAAAAGTGTAAAATGTTCTCACGAAGTGACAAAAAGTCACCTCGTGAGCAGGGCCAGAAATTATACAATGGTCTATTCGCGGCAGGATGGAAGCATACACGCGCGGGCGAACGATGTTGAAAAAGAACAGACGCGCGCGCGCTCAACTGTCGTGACGCGCAAAAGTAACAAGTTTGTTGCGTCGAAAAAAAGATTCATGATCCCACGAAGTGACAAAAACTGTGTACAAAGTAATTGGCAAAATATGGGAGCCAAAGTTCTGATGTTCTCACGAAGTGCAAAAAAGTTTTATTAATGAATTACTGTTTAATTACGAACTATTTTTAACAAACAACTATGAACTAACAAAGAGCAAATCATATCCTATCGGACAATGTAAACATTTCCGAATTCTGTTACTGCAAAATGGTCGAAAATGTCCTTTGAAAAAATGAATAACTTCAAATGCGATTATCTCAGAATGAACTTTTGTCAAATTTTGAGGTTTTTGTCACTTCGTGAGCAAAGCGACGATATGTCGTCAAATTCGTACATTGTGCGGCTCTTTATTAGCTATCCAGTCTTTATATAGAGATCAGTGGATACACCCCGCGCCGTCCCCAGACACAAATCCGCACTCTACACGGCCGGCCGGACGTACAGTATTACAGTAACCATGCCGTGGAAGATCGCCTCATGAGGCCGCGTAGTGGTTACCGCATGGGGTGTACGTAGTACGTACGTATGGTACGCACATAGGTACTGTATGCGTACCGGTCGGCAACGTGCGCTGTAATGTACATTTACATATGTACATGTACTGACAACAACCTGTATACGTACGTCTGCCGGATCGGACCGTTTGTTCAGGTAAAAAGCTTGGCTAGACAGCATTCGTCAAGGCTAGACTGATTCCCTCTCAAATGAAATGACTTAAAAGAAAAACCGAGAACCAGTGTTCGGCTCTCATTCGATACTGCCTTCCTGGTATGCTTGCAATACGCATTGTTGTCATGATATCAAACGATAAACAGGGCTAGTGGACCAACGAGGCTGACGCACGTAGGTTTGAAATTATTGCATTTTAAATAGGCGATGTCATTTTGGTACGAATAATGATAAAACAAAAACTTACTGTACAGCCAATGTCACATTGGCTGTACATTAAGTTTTTGTTTTATCACAAGTTTAGCATGAATTTTGGAGAAATACAAAAAGCTGTAACATGGTGAAACTTACCAATGATACTTGAAGACCATCTTTAAGACGGTGTTGAATCGAGGTAACTGCAGACAATGTGATCCAGTAGACCTGTTGAGCAAAATGTTAAGAACTTTTTGGATAGGCCATAGCTTTGCTTGAATTGAGGACATGGTGAACGTAGTTTACGTAGAGGTGAACTTTACACACAAAACATTATAGACATCATGTCATTTGGGCAACCACAAACATAATTTTTTAATCATGAAGGCCGGTCCATACTACGGTTCATACCTTTTCCCGTTAAACTACATTATACGAATACGAATTTAATATTCGGCGTTAAGAATTAAAACAAAAGTATACATGACTGTAAATAATATTGAACAGGACGAGGAGAACACTTATTATCAAGCGTATGTTTCTCGATGTTGAATTAAAAAAAAAAATTATGAATGGCGACAAAAAAAACCTCTTCTTAGGCCAAAAAAAAAAAGTCTCCGGTTTCTGGTATGCGCGCGCGTCGCCGTAGCCATGCGCGTCGGCAAAATGAAAAAGGTTTTTTTTCAATGAAAGATGATGTCTCAAAACCGCCAAACTCACTGTTTTGACTGGAATCCTGCTGCTGCACAATTGTAACGTGTTTTTAGATGGAGTTATGGTCGAGAATAAGCTTTATGTGGCCTCTCTGGACTCCCATATATTATTTGCACTTAGTTTAGTCGGACACCATTTGCAGTCATCAGCCGACATTTGAAGCAAAAAAATCAGGTAAAAAAAAAAGCCGCGTCGCCGCATCACTTTTTGGGCAAGCTCCATACCAGAAACCGGAGACTTTTTTTTTTTGGCCTAAGAAGAGGTTTTTTTTGTCGCCATTCATAATTTTTTTTTGGCCTTATTACCCTGTGCCACATCCCTTAGTTCCTTCTCCTGCAGAACAATCCCTCCTTTTACACACCTATTCATCTCACACTTCCCTCCCTTCTCAACCCCCTCCCCTTGTTCCTTCCTGCCCCTCCCTTTGATCTTCACCTACTGCCACACTCCCTTGGTCCACGCCCTCTTCGTGTTTAATCCCTCAATTTGTGTTCTCCTTCCACCCCTGTGTGTCCCCTACGTAAATGTTTCTTGTACCACTGTCAGTCTGAAGCAGGTCACGGTCTTGTTAAGACCGAAACATCAGGCCTAATTTTTTTTAGTTAAACAACTCAAATGAATGAGATAAAATAACATTATTACATTTGGCTTAATTTTCCAACTGTCTCTGCAAACGTTTTACACCGAAATGAGAAAGTCTCACTCACCACCGATAATGCTGCGCTATCGCTGACTCGGATGTCTGGTGATGTCTGGTGCTTCTTACTGCACTGCAGTCTTGGGAGTGGTGTTCAGACCGAAGTTGGAGGCGTTAATATAACCTACAGTCGTCATTTTGGTTGGTAAGCAAGAAGTCATTCGTTGCTTTGATGCACCGAGGAACCGGCAATGACAAACGTATAGATCTCTGTGATGATTAGCCCTAACCCTCCTCTCCTTTTTTTTTTGGTAACGAAATATCGACGTTGCATCTGGCGCCGTTTTATGTTTGTTGGTTTTTGTCTCTTGAGATGTGGTGATGGAATTACATTGATATGTAATTTCAGTTTCACTGAAACAAGACGGCGGTTCCTGTCCGTAAAGCACAACCTTCAGAAATTGAGTGAATTATACTCTTACCTTGCTTGTTATTTCAACATCCGAAGTTTTGCGTATATGGGTGACGGGGAGTTGATCATTAACCCTAAAAAAGCCGGGGAGCGGAATCCGCCCCCCCCCCTCAACTTTTTCCGCGATTGCCTTAAAAAAAAATTCGCGACCCGAGCTGTTATGACTTTTTAGCCTCGAGCCTTGCGCATCTTTTGATACCAAAAACATAAAAATCGGACGACGGGTTGCCGCGCAGAGAAAAATTTTCCGGCGCTACGCGCCGTGATAACTTAATTTTTTTATTAAACGTCGTGTACACAGAGCAGAACAACCATTCAAACATATGAATAATTAATTAGCCGTAATTCCAAAACCCTTTGACCTATAGTCATGAAATTTCTTGGGTATGTTTATGATGAAATGCTCTATGCATGTACCGACTTTCAAAATTGTTTGTCACTCGATGGCAGAGATCTTAGGGGGGGGGGCGAAATCCGCCCCCTACCCGGCTGAGAGATGGTCAAAATAACCCGGCCCTTTCAGGGTTAAGGCAGTGCTATATAGTGCCAGAAATCACTCACATTTGTTTTTGTTTTCTTCAATCACCTAAATAGTAGTGTTCCTCCTGGTAATTTAGCTGTGTTTCGTTAAGTAGTGGTTCCCCATCTGTTCCTTTTGCCGCATTATACCCACGCACCACGCCACGTTCATTACGACACCAGCAGAGAAGCCTACGGTACCTTTGTACCCTCTCGTCCTGCCCATACAGTCCTGTCTGCTGCAGAGTCATTGTTTTTTTTTTTTCAAGCCAAAATATAATAAGGTCTTTTATTTCACACTTTATTGGTATTCAGTGTTTGTTCTGTTGGTTTTAAAATATTTTTTTTTCTAAATCTGGTTTTACTTTAGATTGGTGTGTGTTAGTTTTTGAGTGTAGTCCGGATTTCGATTCTTGTTTTCGATACCTCATTTTAGTTGCTTTCTTAAGTCTTGAACTAGTTGAAGTTGAGTACACAAATTCTATAATGTGTCGTTTTGTTTGAAACTACAAAATAATGTGTATAGTGTCTCCACTATTAATGCAGTTCCTCACAAACTTTCCCTTTTTGTTTATATTTTAGTATAAAGTTTAGTATTATATTTTTTAGTTTATAGTTTTGTTTTTGTGCGAGTTCCCCCCTCCTCCCAATATTACAATGGAATCGAATAAAAAAGAATTCATGGTAGTTCCAATTAATCTTAAATGAATACATTGGAGTCGAGGTGAGCTCGTCTACATCGCCCATTAAACGCGTGCTGGTGACATCCATAATATTGCGCTCCCATTGGACGAATGTTTCTAATCCGGTGACCTGGGTCAAACACGTGAGGGTGCACGTTTATTATCGTGCGCAAGGAGTTACCAAGCAACCTTGAGCTAGAAATACGATTGGTTAAAACTCACGCAATGAATTATTCATGTCGATGACGTATTACGCTCATGACGTCCACGCCATGCGCTCACGACCATCCTGTTAGTAAATAAATTATTTTGGTGTCGCATGTCTTGAATCGAAACCCAGTAACGTGGGTTTTATTCTAGACAGATGTTACATTGTCACACCACCCTCTCTTGGCCTTGTTATAATCGTATCGATTTGACTACATGATCCACTATTTGCTTTTGATAATCAAAAAACAAATGCAGTGTCGTTTGTGGACACGAGAAGTAACTAGATATAGTAAGCTTATTTTGTTCCATCTGTCTCAGGGTTCGAAATTAGGGGTAGCCCGCTAGCCAAATGCTGATCAAAACAGCGACGGGCTAGTCAAACTAGTCAAACTAACTTCACACTTCATCGCTTTCGCTTCTGCTACATAGGTGTTTTCCTTCTTAGAGTTTAGGCATTCTCCTGAAGACGGTCAGAGCATACTGACCGGAACGTCGAGTTTATACCTCTGGTTCTTTTCAGAACCATTCTCTTAATTATTTGCACATGGTGTTTCCGCAAAACCTTTCATTACTAAGTACTTAAGTAGCCCGGCTGGCGAGTCAAAAAAATATGGGGCAAAGACTTGGACAGGAAGAAATAAATCATTGAATTCAGAAGTCAAACCTGTATCAATTTGTGTATAGTTTTATCAACTGTTTTAAGTGGTTACCTGATAATATCTGTTTATTAAAAACACTGACAAAATAGGAGGCCTATTTTTGTACCTAGATCTCCTTGTTCGATAACGGGTTTTTTTCACATCGCGTACTTGCGTGAGAACGAAAATGGTAACGACGCGAAGATTTACCAATATACATCAGATGGATATTAGATTTTTTTTCAGGCTTGTTTAGATCACTTTTTAATACAGTTCCTATCAACTGTCACTTTAAATTTGCCTGTGAATGAAACTAAATCCTTCAAGTTTGTTAAAAAAAAATTGTCTGCTACAAAATTATTTCATAAATTTTCATGCTTGAACGAGTGATCGAGTTCACATCGAGTGCACACGGAAGTTTTCGGAAGTGAGAGGTCAATTTTTGCACGATATTTCTCTTTCACGTCATGCGATTTTTCTGTTTCCATAAAATTGCGAGGGTGATTTTCTAAGAAATCAATATACCAAACCTAATGTCAAAAACCTTAGTTCCTTTTCGAGGGGCCCTGAAGCGCGCCACCAGGTGTCAACTTTCAGGCTATATACACGTTTTACATGTATGCACATTGTTGTTTATGAGACACTCTAGTGAAAAAGCCCGCGGGCTAGTTAGGTCAAACCCTGCTGTCTACACTCTTGGCCGGCCATGGGCGTCGCCAGGATGGGGCAAGGCCCCCCCCCCCCCCCCCGAAAAGCAAAAAGCAACACAAAAACAAGAAGAAGGGAGAAAAAGAGGTGTGAACTTGAACTCATATTTGCTATTAATTGAATACACACTTAACCAAATGGGCGTCTGCAGGGGTGTCAATGGGGTGGGGTGAGTTAACGTCCCCCGCCCACCCTCGAAAAAAATGATAAATTGAGAATATACCAGACAAAGTACAAGGTAAATGTGCCATTTTGTCTTTGAGCTTCCGGACCTCTGATCTCCGCCATGCGCCGCCTGCGATTTATTTTTCCATACCACATATTCGCTATTATACAACACAAACGATTAGGCGAATTTGACTATGGTAGTTTTAACATACATAAATTGGATATGATAGTTCTGAACCTAGGAATATAGTTGCTGGCTAGTTCTGAACTTGTCGAACAGTTTTGAATAAATCGGATATTGGAAGGGACCACCAATTTGTCTGAAAAAGTAGAACATTGAAATAGAACCGGAATAGTTCTTCTTTTTTGTTTTTCAGTTGACAAGTATAGTGCTCGTATAATACCCATTTGAATCACCTTTCGTTTGTTATTCCACATATATGCATCATCACAGTTTTATAGGCACATCATTCTTTCCGACTTACTGGGGCAAAACAATATAGAATAGACTGTGTATAGGAAGGCAGTTAAAATGCATTACATGTAGGGGGGGTCAAAAACATTCATAGAAATACATTAAAAATAATACAACCCCCCCCCCCCCCCCCACGCTCTGACGCCCCCCAAAAATATACTGGTAATTATGTCCGTCTGTGCACAAAATTCAGACAGAGCCAGCTTGTTTAGGGGGTCATTATGGTATTAATAATCGTCGGATTTGAACAGCGCCCCCATTGGAAGTATGGTATGAGCCCCCCATTCCCCCCCCCCCCCACCACCTATTGATTTTACGGAGGCCAAGTGTCCGGACAAAAACAAACTCTGTCTACATTTCAGCAATGATTTGCTGATGACCCCCCCCCCCCCCTGCAAAAATTCCTGGATTTGCCCCTGACATGTCAGTAAGGCCCTCTGTCGGGGGGGGGGGGGTCAATAGCCTGAATCCAACACCAGCTATGTCGATTGTTCTGCCCTCGCTGGATGATTTATAGTTTAGAATTAATAACACTAATGGTTCTTACTTCTTCTTGGCTTTATTCAACATCAGAACACTCGTACAGAAACACTTTTCAAGCGAAAGTTTACCGTGATTTTTTGTCTGGTCTCTTTTACCACAGGAGAATGCAACTTGCGGAAACGGATGACATTACTTGCAGTAATCAATAAATGGTGGTAGGGTTTTTCTTCAACTAAACGTTTAGTGCTACAAGATGACAGACACTGCTCTATAAACGTCGGGAAAATCTTGACACTATTAAGAGCAAGGGTTTTCTTTGTTATTACAATGTAGTAAACAAGCTTACAAGTTGGGCCGAGGATGGCGCTGAAAGAACGTGAAACAAAACGGTCAGACAAAAAAAAACCACAAAACACATTTTTTTTCATGCTTTTATTGTTTCATTTTATTTATTCGTGCATATAGTCCACAAAGGAAATAACTAAATCTATATAGACATTAGCGACAAATAAGAAGCTTTAATTAAATAAAGAAATCAAATTCTGGGTTCGACTGAAGCTTGTCACGAATTCTTGCAGTAAACTCTTTCAATTCATTAGGTCTTCCGTAATGGTTTCTCAGTTTGCTTTGTATTTCAAGTACCAGTTTTCATCTGTTTCAGTCAGAAAAAAATAGGCGCAATTTTGCATAACCTTGATTATGTTATCTACCATAAATTAGTTTAAGATTGCCAATGCACTTCGCACCATACGACACAAGTATGAATTATGTTTAATTTAAAGGAAACCGTTATACCAAAAGCAAAATCACATAAAATATTCCAATTAGCCATTCCTTAAGGCGGTCGCGTTGTTTTTCAATGATCAAAGAAAATGTGCCACATGATTAGAAATCGCCCTAAAGTGAATGTCAGTTCAGTATTGTTAACATTGGACAAGGTTCAGCAGAATTTGAACCATGATGAGATTTGTTTCTTGAAAGACACATAACCCAGATGTATAGATCTAATTAAAGTATAATCTTAGCAGAAGATAAAACTCATGCATTTATTAATTTCAAGTGATTATCAATTAACCAGGTCTCAAACCAGTACCGTTTTCACTGCAAACCTGCAGTGTAAATTGAACACCGGTAGTCCTATATAGATACCACCGGTGTCAAATTGACACTGCTTTTTGATTTGCAGTGCGTGTCGTACGTTTGCCTTCCTGATCGAGAATCCCTTTTAGTCAGTTTTCTTTTTCCAAATATTGTCGCTGGAGTTGACTACCCACACCAGGCACGACAGAGACTCAACTTGCTTCGCGGCCCCTCCGATCTGATGCCAAGTGCTACCCCAGGGTGTGGCGGGCGTCACACCCCCTCGATAGTAGATCGCATCCCCGGCGTTAACCCCGTACACCATGTCAGCCGAACTGATATACTTGAGCGCGCCTGAGACCTGTCTCCACCCAGTGCCGTCTGGGTCAGAGGGCAGGTCACCGTAAGTACCCAACCTGTAGTAGATATTATCGCCCGCATTCACACCCCACACCCCGGAGTTACCCACCGAGATCTGCTTCAATGCCCCTCCAATCTGCCTCCAAGAGTCCCCGCCCTGGTTGCAGTTGCTTGCCCCAATGCGGTGATAGATGCTGTCATGCACGTTAACCCCCCAAACATGCCCATTTTGACTAACACTGACGTGTTTCAAGGCCCCAGACACCTGTGCCCATCCCGTACCAGTTGGATTAGTCGCGGATATGCCTTGTCTATAATAGATGTTATCGTTTGAGTTAACGCCCCACACTACGTTCCTCCCCACGTCAAGCTGTTTCAGAGCCCCACCGATTTGTTGCCAGGCCGCACAGGTTGCGCTCTCTTCCTCACCGTACGAGTTGCCTCTGTAGTAGATGTTGTCGTGAAAGTTGACGCCCCATACTCCTGACAGACCCACTGATACGTGCTTCAAGGCTCCAGGGAGGCGACTCCATGCCGTGGTCGCCGGCTGGCAAGCGCAAGTTTGCCCAAGAGCCTCAGTGATGATGCAGAGGGCCCACACCAAACTGAAGGCGGAAAAAGAAAAACAAAACACCTCTAAACGTCTTGGGTGCATACATGAGCCTCGACTCCAATGACAACCTCTTTTCCATGGGTACGATCCTGCTGCGCCATGTTGGTTCCCATCACGCCTTGCGTGATCTAAACACCTGTGGTCAATACCAGACCAAATGTTTGCCGAAGAGGAACATTTGGTAATCTTTCCCGTTTTTGTGGGAGACGAGAATGGTTACGTTTCCAAAGGAACAATTATTTTGCTCATCCCTAGACTGATTCTAGCCTTGACCAATGCTGTCTACATAGCCAAGTTTATTTTAAAATCTGAGCTGAACAAACGGTCCGCGGCACACGTACGCCGCGCACAGCCCCTAGCTAGCTCCGCTTTGCCTGGCTGTGCGATACACCCACTGATCTCTATATAAAGACTGGATAGCGGATATGCATACAACATTCACACAGTAGACTTTGCATGTTGACCTATTCGCCCCCGGTCTCACGAAGATGGCCGCGTATAATACGAACGTTCTACGCGTAAATACGCGCGCGTTGTATCAACAGTTGACGCGCATTTTGGTCACGTACACATATTATGATGTTCTAAAAGGGACACATTTCCGTAGTGATTAAGGGAATAAATGTGTGCTTCGGAGGTTTTTATCACTCTGTTTAAGACCACTTAGAGTCTGGGTACTGATAATTACCCGAGCCGGAGGCGAGGGTAATTATCAGCACCCAGACTCTAAGTGGTCTTAAACAGAGTGATAAATACTGACGGAGCACATATTTATTCCCATTCATAAATACCTTTTCGGTAAGAAAAAATCATATAATTCGTTCAAAACATCCCGATTTTGTTCAACAAATTCACTTTATGCTTTTTGAAACATCCCTCTTGCAAAATAATGGAGTGTTCAGCTGGCGAGTAAGATGTAAACAACCCTTTTATGGAGATTGACGCGCGCGTATCATGTTCTGCGCGATATCGCGCAGAACGCACCTGGCGCGTTGCGTTTTGAATTTAGAACTTTAAAATTCTGACTCCCTGGTAGTGTTGCGCATGCCTACGTGAGGATTGTGAACGTTCAACCAATGAAACGATAAGAGGCACTGGATTTTTAGAAGTCCACATTTTATTGTGACACTGGAAAAGTGTTTAAGACCAGCTAGCCATGTCTTTATCATCCGTTTAAGACCGGCCACGTGACGGGCTCTCGACCAATAGGAATGCGTAAACTGTCTTAGGTATTTATGAATATTATTTCAAAACGCCGAAAAAGTTATATTTGCGGCATTTTAGTAACCACGACGTTAGAAAAATTGTAGTTAACCTTGGTCAGTGATGGTGGTCAATATATAAGTCAAGTGAACCGCGACGTTACAAAAGAAATCATGCTGTCTATAAAAACGACAACTTGTCCTTTGTAGATCACCAGCCGGTCTCACCTATATGGCGTCAAATTCGTACATTGTGCGGCTCTTTATTAGCTATCCAGTCTTTATATAGACCGCTTGCAGACGCGTTCGATAATTGACGCGCGAAGGTGCGCGACGCCATGTTGTGGGACAAAATGTGCATGGATAGATATGCGCTTGACCCACAACATGGCGTCGCGCGCCTTCGCGCGTCGATTATCGAACGCGTCTGCAAGCGGTCTATAGAGATCAGTGGATACACCCCGCGCCGGCCCCAGACACAAATCCGCACTGTACACGGCCGGACGTACAGTATCTACAGTAACCATGCCGTGGAAGATCGCCTCATGAGGCCGCGAAGTGGTTACCGCATGGGGTGTACGTAGAACGTACGTATGGTACGCACATCCGGTTCGTTAGTAAAAACGTCATACAAGCACGCGCACCACTGATTACTAGCGCCCATTGGCTACAAACACTCGAGCTGCGTTAACTTCCGGTTCCAATCGTGCAGAAAGTGCTGGAGGTGACGTCACACTAACGAACCGGATAGGTACTGTATGCGTACCGGTCGGCAACGTGCGCTGTAATGTACATAGTTTACATGTACATGTACTGACAACAACCTGTATACGTACATCTGCCGGATCGGACCGTTTGTTCAGGTAAAAAGCTTGGCTAGACAGCATTCGTCAAGGCTAGACTGATTCCCTCCCCTCTCAAATGAAATGACTTAAAAGAAAAACCGAGAACCAGTGTTCGGCTCTCATTCGATACTGCCTTCCTGGTATGCTTGCAATACGCATTGTTGTCATGATATCAAACGATAAACAGGGCTAGTGGACCAACGAGGCTGACGCACGTAGGTTTGAAATTATTGCATTTTAAATAGGCGATGTCATTTTGGTACGAATAATGATAAAACAAAAACTTACTGTACAGCCAATGTCACATTGGCTGTACATTAAGTTTTTGTTTTATCACAAGTTTAGCATGAATTTTGGAGAAATACAAAAAGCTGTAACATGGTGAAACTTACCAATGATACTTGAAGACCATCTTTAAGACGGTGTTGAATCGAGGTAACTGCAGACAATGTGATCCAGTAGACCTGTTGAGCAAAATGTTAAGAACTTTTTGGATAGGCCATAGCTTTGCTTGAATTGAGGACATGGTGAACGTAGTTTACGTAGAGGTGAACTTTACACACAAAACATTATAGACATCATGTCATTTGGGCAACCACAAACATAATTGTTTAATCATGAAGGCCGGTTCATACTACGGTTCATACCTTTTCCCGTTAAACTACATTATACGAATACGAATTTAATATTCGGCGTTAAGAATTAAAACAAAAGTATACATGACTGTACATAATATTGAACATGACGAGGAGAACACTTATTATCAAGCGTATGTTTCTCGATGTTGAATTAAAAAAAAAAAAAATTATGAATGGCGACAAAAAAAACCTCTTCTTAGGCCAAAAAAAAAAGTCTCCGGTTTCTGGTATGCGCGCGCGTCGCCGTAGCCATGCGCGTCGGCAAAATGAAAAAGGTTTTTTTCCAATGAAAGATGATGTCTCAAAACCGCCAAACTCACTGGTTTGACTGGAATCCTGCTGCTGCACAATTTTAACGTGTTTTTAGATGGAGTTATGGTCGAGAATAAGCTTTATGTGGCCTCTCTGGACTCCCATATATTTGCACTTAGTTTAGTCGGACACCATTTGCAGTCATCAGCCGACATTTGAAGCAAAAAAATCAGGTAAAAAAAAAAAAAAGCCGCGTCGCCGCATCACTTTTTGGGCAAGCTCCATACCAGAAACCGGAGACTTTTTTTTTTGGCCTTATTACCCTGTGCCACATCCCTTAGTTCCTTCTCCTGCAGAACAATCCCTCCTTTTACACACCTTTTCATCTCACACTTCCCTCCCTTCTCAACCCCCTCCCCTTGTTCCTTCCTGCCCCTCCCTTTGATCTTCACCTACTGCCACACTCCCTTGGTCCACGCCCTCTTCGTGTTTAATCCCTCAATTTGTGTTCTCCTTCCACCCCTATGTGTCCCCTACGTAAATGTTTCTTGTACCACTGTCAGTCTGAAGCAGGTCACGGTCTTGTTAAGACCGAAACATCAGGCCTATTTTTTTTTAGTTAAACAACTCAAATGAATGAGATAAAATAACATTATTACATTTGGCTTAATTTTCCAACTGTCTCTGCAAACGTTTTACACCGAAATGAGAAAGTCTCACTCACCACCGATAATGCTGCGCTATCGCTGACTCGGATGTCTGGTGATGTCTGGTGCTTCTTACTGCAATGCAGTCTTGGGAGTGGTGTTCAGACCGAAGTTGGAGGCGTTAATATAACCTACAGTCGTCATTTTGGTTGGTAAGCAAGAAGTCATTCGTTGCTTTGATGCACTGAGGAACCGGCAATGACAAACGTATAGATCTCTGTGATGATTAGCCCTAACCCTCCTCTCCTTTTTTTTTTTGGTAACGAAATATCGACGTTGCATCTGGCGCCGTTTTATGTTTGTTGGTTTTTGTCTCTTGAGATGTGGTGATGGAATTACATTGATATGTAATTTCAGTTTCACTGAAACAAGACGGCGGTTCCTGTCCGTAAAGCACAACCTTCAGAAATTGAGTGAATTATACTCTTACCTTGCTTGTTATTTCAACATCCGAAGTTTTGCGTATATGGGTGACGGGGAGTTGATCATTAACCCTAAAAAAGCCGGGGAGCGGAATCCGCCCCCCCCACCATAACTTTTTCCGCGATTGCCTTAAACAAAATTCGCGACCCGAGCTGTTATGACTTTTTAGCCTCGAGCCTTGCGCATCTTTTGATACCAAAAACATAAAAATCGGACGACGGGTTGCCGCGCAGAGAAAAATTTTCCGGCGCTACGCGCCGTGATAACTTAATTTTTCCATTAAACGTCGGTACACAGAGCAGAACTACCATTCATACATATGAATAATTAATAAGCCGTAATTCCAAAACCCTTTGACCTATAGTCATGAAATTTCTTGGGTATGTTTATGATGAAATGCTCTATGCATGTACCGACTTTCAAAATTGTTTGTCACTCGATGGCAGAGATCTTAGGGGGGGGGGGCGAAATCTGCCCCCTACCCGGCTGAGAGATGGTCAAAATAACCCGGCCCTTTCAGGGTTAAGGCAGTGCTATATAGTGCCAGAAATCACTCACATTTGTTTTTGTTTTCTTCAATCACCTAAATAGTAGTGTTCCTCCTAATAATTTAGCTGTGTTTCGTTAAGTAGTGGTTCCCCATCTGTTCCTTTTGCCGCATTATACCCACGCACCACGCCACGTTCATTACGACACCAGCAGAGAAGCCTACGGTACCTTTGTACCCTCTCGTCCTGCCCATACAGTCCTGTCTGCTGCAGAGTCATTTGTTTTTGTTTTTTTTCAAGCCAAAATATAATAAGTTCTTTTATTTCACACTTTATTGGTATTCAGTGTTTGTTCTGTTGGTTTTAAAATATTTTTTTTCTAAATCTGGTTTTACTTTAGATTGGTGTGTGTTAGTTTTTGAGTGTAGTCCGGATTTCGATTCTTGTTTTCGATACCTCATTTTAGTTACTTTCTTAAGTCTTGAACTAGTTGAAGTTGAGTACACAAATTCTATAATGTGTCGTTTTGTTTGAAACTACAAAATAATGTGTATAGTGTCTCCACTATTAATGCAGTTCCTCACAAACTTTCCCTTTTTGTTTATATTTTAGTATAAAGTTTAGTATTATATATTTTAGTGTATAGTTTTGTTTTTGTGCGAGTTCCCCCCTCCTCCCAATATTGCAATGGAATCGAATAAAAAAGTGTTCATGGTAGTTCCAATTAATCTTAAATGAATACATTGGAGTCGAGGTGAGCTCGTCTACATCGCCCATTAAACGCGTGCTGGTGACATCCACAATATTGCGCTCCCATTGGACGAATGTTTCTAATCCGGTGACCTGGGTCAACCACGTGAGGGTGCACGTTTATTATCGTGCGCAAGGAGTTACCGAGCAACCTCGAGCTAGAAATACGATTGGTTAAAACTCACGCAATGAATTATTCATGTCGATGACGTATTACGCTCATGACGTCCACGCCATGCGCTCACGACCATCCTGTTAGTAAATACATTATTTTGGTGTCGCATGTCTTGAATCGAAACCCAGTAACGTGGGTTTTATTATAGACAGATGTTACATTGTCACACCACCCTCTCTTGGCCTTGTTATAATCGTATCGATTTGACTACATGATCCACTATTTGCTATTGATAATTAATAAACAAATGCAGTGTCCTTTGTGGACACGAGAAGTAACTAGATATAGTGAGCTTATTTTGTTCCATCTGTCTCAGGGTTCGAAATTAGGGGTAGCCCGCTAGCCAAATGCTAGTCAAAACAGCGGCGGGCTAGTCAAACTAGTACTTAAGTAGCCCGGCTGGCGAGTCAAAAAAATATGGGGCAAAGATGAAAGGACAGGAAGAAATAAATCATTGAATTTAGAAGTCAAATCTGTATCAATTTGTGTATAATATTATCAACTGTTTTAAATGGTTAACTGTTAACATCTGTTTATTAAAAACACTGACAAAATAGGAGACCTATTTTTGTACCTAGGTCTCCTTGTTCGATCACGGGTTTTTTTTCACATCGCGTACTTGCGTGAGAACGAAAATGGTAACGACGCGAAGATTTACCAATATACATCAGATGGATTTTAGATTTTTTCGGGCTCGTTTAGATCACTTTTTAATACAGTTCCTATCAACTGTCACTTAATATTTGCCTGTGAATGAAATTAAATCCTTCAAGTTTGTTAAAAAAATTGTCTGCTACAAAATTATTTCATAAATTGTCATGCTTGAACGAGTGATCGAGTTCACATCGAGTGCACACGGAAGTTTTCGGAAGTGAGAGGTCAATATTTTGCACGATATTTCTCTTTCACGTCATGCGATTTTTCAGTTTCCATAAAATTGCGAGGGTGATTTTCTAAGAAATCAATATACCAAACCTAATGTCAAAAACCTTAGTTCCTTTTCGAGGGGCCCTGAAGCGCGCCACCAGGTGTCAACTTTCAGGCTATATACACGTTTTACATGTATGCACATTGTATGTTGTTTATGAGACACTCTATAAAAAAAATGCGGCTAGTGAAAAAGCCCGCGGGCTAGTTAGGTCGAACCCTGCTGTCTACACTCTTGGCCGGCCATGGGCGTCGCCAGGATGGGGCAAGCCCCCCCCCCCCCCCGAAAAGCAAAAAGCAACACAAAAACAAGGAGAAGGGGGAAAAGAGGTGTGAACTAGAACTCATATTTGCTATTAATTAAATGAGGTGGGGTGAGTTAACGTCCCCTGCCCACCCTCGAAAAAATGATAAATTGAGAATATGCCAGACAAAGTACAAGGATTTGGGGGTAAATGTGCCATTTTGTCTTTGAGCTTCCGGACCTCTGATCTCCGCCACCCGCCTGAATAAATCCCCGTCATCTGATTGGTTGATCGTTGATCACATGTCATTGAATTATTCGTCCCAACGCACTGCGCGGCCGCACCACGAAAACAGAAGTTCTATTGCACGGTGAATGGAAGTTCTATTGCACGGTTTCATTACTGCCGGTGGTGGCGCTGTATTACGAATCTGATTCACAGAATGTCAAATTGACGGACGATACACGAGAATCTCCGTTGGTGCTCAGAAGAAATAGCGGAACTCTATGTGAATGCTGACGCTGCTAACACAAAGAAGCAAATAAGATTTGCTGGCAAACGATTAGGCGAATTTGATTATGGTAGTTTTAACATACATAAATTGGATATGATAGTTCTGAACCTAGGAATATAGTTGCTGGCTAGTTCTGAACTTGTCGAACAGTTTTGAATAAATCGGATATTGGAAGGGACCACAAATTTGTCTGAAAAAGTAGAACATTGAAATAGAACCGGAATAGTTATTCTTTTTTGTTTTTCAGTTGACAAGTATAGTGCTCGTATAATACCCATTTGAATCACCTTTCGTTTGTTATTCCACATTATATGCATCATCACAGTTTTATAGGCACATCATCATTCCGACTTACTGGGGCAAAACAATATGGAATAGACTGTGTATAGGAAGGCAGTTAAAATGCATTACATGTAGGGGGGGTCAAAAAAATTCATAGAAATACATTAAAAATAATGCAACCCCCCCCCCTCCCCGCTCTGACGCCCCCCAAAAATATACTGGTAATTATGTCCGTCTGTGCACAAAATTCAGACAGAGCCAGCTTGTTTAGGGGGTCAATATGGTATGAATAATCGTCGGATTTGAACAGCGCCCCCATTGGAAGTATGGTATGAGCCCCCCATCCCCCCCTACCACCTATTGATTTTACGGAGGCCAAGTGTCCGGACAAAAACAAACTCTGTCTACATTTCAGCAATGATTTGCTGATGACCCCCGCCCCCCCCCCCTGCAAAAATTCCTGGATCCGCCCCTGACATGTCAGTAAGGCCCTCTGTCGGGGGGGGGGGTCAATAGCCTGAATCCAACACCAGCTATGTCAATTGTTCTGCCCTAGCTGGATGATTTATAGTTTAGAATTAATAACACTAGTGGTTCTTACTTCTTCTTGGCTTTATTCAACATCAGAACACTCGTACAGAAACACTTTTAAAGCGAAAGTTTACCGTGATTTTTGTCTGGTCTTTTTTACCACAGGAGAATGCAACTTGCGGAAACGGATGACATTACTTGCAGTAATCATGGAGCTGTTTTAGAGCTCCATGCAGTAATCAATAAATGGTGGTAGGTTTTTCTTCAACTAAACGTTTAGTGCTATGGCAGACACTCCTCTATAAATGTCGGGAAAATCTTGACACTATTAAGAGCAAGGGTTTTCTTTGTTATTACAATGTAGTAAACAAGCTTACAAGTTGGGCCGAGGATGGCGCTAAAAGAACGTGAAACAAAACGTTCAGACCAAAAAAAACCACAAAACACATTTTTTTTCATGCTTTTATTGTTTCATTTTTTTTATTCATGCATATAGTCCAGAAAGGAAATAACTTATTCTATATAGACATTAGCGACATAAATAGAAGCTTAAATTCAATAAAGAAATCAAATTCTGGGTTCGACTGAAGCTTGTCAATAATTCTTGCAGTAAACTCGTTCAATTCATTAGGTCTCCCGTAATGGTTTCTCAGTTTACTTTGTATTTCAAGTACCAGTTTTCATCTGTTACAGTCAGAAAAAAATAGGCGCAATTTTGCATAACCTTGATTATGTTATCTACCATAAATTAGTTTAAGATTGCCAATGCACTTCGCACCATACGACACAAGTATGAATTATGTTTAAAGGAAACTGTTATACCAAAAGCAAAATCACATAAAATATTCCAATTAGCCATTCCTAAAGGCGGTCGCGTTGTTTTTCAATGATCAAAGAAAATGTGCCACATGATTAGAAATCGCCCTAAAGTGAATGTCAGTTCAGTATTGTTAACATTGGACAAGGTTCAGCAGAATTTGAACCATGATGAGATTTGTTTCTTGAAAGACACATAACCCAGATGTATAGATCTAATTAAAGTATAATCTTAGCAGAAGATAAAACTCATGCATTTATTAATTTCAAGTGATTATCAATTAACCAGGTCTCAAACCAGTACCATTTTCACTGCAAAACTGCAGTGTAAATTGAACACCGGTAGTCCTATATAGATACCACCGGTGTCAAATTGACACTGCTGTTTGATTTGCAGTGCGTGTCGTACGTTTGCCTTCCTGATCGAGAATCCCTTTTAGTCAGTTTTCTTTTTCCAAATATTGTCGCTGGAGTTGACTACCCACACCAGGCACGACAGAGACTCAACTTGCTTCGCGGCCCCTCCGATCTGATGCCAAGTGCTACCCCAGGGTGTGGCGGCCGTCACACCCCCTCGATAGTAGATCGCATCCCCGGCGTTAACCCCGTACACCATGTCAGCCGAACTGATATACTTGAGCGCGCCTGAGACCTGTCTCCACCCAGTGCCGTCTGGGTCAGAGGGCAGGTCACCGTAAGTACCCACCCTGTGGTAGATATTATCGCCCGAATTCACACCCCACACCCCGGAGTTACCCACCGAGATCTGCTTCAATGCCCCTCCAATCTGCCTCCAAGAGTCCCCGCCCTGGTTGCAGTTGCTTGCCCCAATGCGGTGATAGATGTTGTCATTCACGTTAACCCCCCAAACATGCCCATTTTGACTAACACTGACGTGTTTCAAGGCCCCAGACACCTGTGCCCATCCCGTACCAGTTGGATTAGTCGCGGATATGCCTTGTCTATAATAGATGTTATCGTTTGAGTTAACGCCCCACACTACGTTCTTCCCCACGTCAAGCTGTTTCAGAGCCCCACCGATTTGTTGCCAGGCCGCACAGGTTGCGCTCTCTTCCTCACCGTACGAGTTGCCTCTGTAGTAGATGTTGTCGTGAACGTTGACGCCCCATACTCCTGACAGACCCACTGATACGTGCTTCAAGGCTCCAGGGAGGCGACTCCATGCCGTGGTCGCCGGCTGGCAAGTTTGCCCCATAGCCTCAGTGATGATGCAGAGGGCCCACACCAAACTGAAGGCGGAAAAAGAAAAACAAAACACCTCTAAACGTCTTGGGTGCATACATGAGCCTCGACTCCAATGACAACCTCTTTTCCATGGGTACGATCCTGCTGCGCCATGTTGGTTCCCATCACGCCTTGCGTGATCTAAACACCTGTGGTCAATACCAGACCAAATGTTTGCCGAAGAGGAACATTTGGTAATCTTTCCCGTTTTTATGGGAGACGAGAATGGTTACGTTTCCAAAATAACAATTATTTTGCTCATCCCTAGACTGATTCTAGCCTTGACCAATGTTGTCTACATAGCCAAGTTTATTTTAAAATCTGAGCTGAACAAACGGTCCGCGGCACACGTACGCCGCGCGCAGCCCCTAGCTAGCTCCGCTTTGCCTGGCTGTGCGATACACCCACTGATCTCTATATAAAGACTGGATAGGTGATATGCATACAACATTCACACAGTAGACTTTGCATGTTGACCAATTCGCCCCCGGTCTCACGAAGATGGCCGCGTATAATACGAACGTTCTACGCGTAAATACGCGCGCGTTGTATCAACAGTTGACGCGCATTTTGGTCACGTACACATATTATGATGTTCTAAAAGGGACACATTTCCGTAGTGATTATTATTTCAAAACGCCGAAAAAGTTATATTTGCGGCATTTTAGTAACCACGACGTTAGAAAAATTGTAGTTAACCTTGGTCAGTGATGGTGGTCAAAATATAAGTCAAGTGAACCGCGACGTTACAAAAGAAATCATGCTGTCTATAAAAACGACAACTTGTCCTTTGTAGATCACCAGCCGGTCTCACCTATATGGCGTCAAATTCGTACATTGTGCGGCTCTTTATTAGCTATCCAGTCTTTATATCCGGTTCGTTAGTGAAAACGTCATACACGCGCGCACACCACTGATTACTTGCGCACATTGGCTGCAAACGCTCGAGCTGCGTTAACTTCCGGTTCCAATCGTGCAGAAAGTGCTGGAGGTGACGTCACACTAACGAACCGGATAGAGATCAGTGGATACACCCCGCGCCGGCCCCAGACACAAATCCGCACTGTACACGGCCGGACGTACAGTATTACAGTAACCATGCCGTGGAAGATCGCCTCATGAGGCCGCGTAGTGGTTACCGCATGGGGTGTACGTAGTACGTACGTATGGTACGCACATAGGTACTGTATGCGTACCGGTCGGCAACGTGCGCTGTAATGTACATTTACATGTACATGTACTGACAACAACCTGTATACGTACGTCTGCCGGATCGGACCGTTTGTTCAGGTAAAAAGCTTGGCTAGACAGCATTCGTCAAGGCTAGACTGATTCCCTCTCAAATGAAATGACTTAAAAGAAAAACCGAGAACCAGTGTTCGGCTCTCATTCGATACTGCCTTCCTGGTATGCTTGCAATACGCATTGTTGTCATGATATCAAACGATAAACAGGGCTAGTGGACCAACGAGGCTGACGCACGTAGGTTTGAAATTATTGCATTTTAAATAGGCGATGTCATTTTGGTACGAATAATGATAAAACAAAAACTTACTGTACAGCCAATGTCACATTGGCTGTACATTAAGTTTTTGTTTTATCACAAGTTTAGCATGAATTTTGGAGAAATACAAAAAGCTGTAACATGGTGAAACTTACCAATGATACTTGAAGACCATCTTTAAGACGGTGTTGAATCGAGGTAACTGCAGACAATGTGATCCAGTAGACCTGTTGAGCAAAATGTTAAGAACTTTTTGGATAGGCCATAGCTTTGCTTGAATTGAGGACATGGTGAACGTAGTTTACGTAGAGGTGAACTTTACACACAAAACATTATAGACATCATGTCATTTGGGCAACCACAAACATAATTTTTTAATCATGAAGGCCGGTTCATACTACGGTTCATACCTTTTCCCGTTAAACTACATTATACGAATACGAATTTAATATTCGGCGTTAAGAATTAAAACAAAAGTATACATGACTGTAAATAATATTGAACAGGACGAGGAGAACACTTATTATCAAGCGTATGTTTCTCGATGTTGAATTAAAAAAAAAAATTATGAATGGCGACAAAAAAAAACCTCTTCTTAGGCCAAAAAAAAAAAGTCTCCGGTTTCTGGTATGCGCGCGCGTCGCCGTAGCCATGCGCGTCGGCAAAATGAAAAAGGTTTTTTTTCAATGAAAGATGATGTCTCAAAACCGCCAAACTCACTGTTTTGACTGGAATCCTGCTGCTGCACAATTGTAACGTGTTTTTAGATGGAGTTATGGTCGAGAATAAGCTTTATGTGGCCTCTCTGGACTCCCATATATTATTTGCACTTAGTTTAGTCGGACACCATTTGCAGTCATCAGCCGACATTTGAAGCAAAAAAATCAGGTAAAAAAAAAAGCCGCGTCGCCGCATCACTTTTTGGGCAAGCTACATACCAGAAACCGGAGACTTTTTTTTTTGGCCTTATTACCCTGTGCCACATCCCTTAGTTCCTTCTCCTGCAGAACAATCCCTCCTTTTACACACCTATTCATCTCACACTTCCCTCCCTTCTCAACCCCCTCCCCTTGTTCCTTCCTGCCCCTTCCCTTTGATCTTCACCTACTGCCACACTCCCTTGGTCCACGCCCTCTTCGTGTTTAATCCCTCAATTTGTGTTCTCCTTCCACCCCTGTGTGTCCCCTACGTAAATGTTTCTTGTACCACTGTCAGTCTGAAGCAGGTCACGGTCTTGTTAAGACCGAAACATCAGGCCTAATTTTTTTTAGTTAAACAACTCAAATGAATGAGATAAAATAACATTATTACATTTGGCTTAATTTTCCAACTGTCTCTGCAAACGTTTTACACCGAAATGAGAAAGTCTCACTCACCACCGATAATGCTGCGCTATCGCTGACTCGGATGTCTGGTGATGTCTGGTGCTTCTTACTGCACTGCAGTCTTGGGAGTGGTGTTCAGACCGAAGTTGGAGGCGTTAATATAACCTACAGTCGTCATTTTGGTTGGTAAGCAAGAAGTCATTCGTTGCTTTGATGCACCGAGGAACCGGCAATGACAAACGTATAGATCTCTGTGATGATTAGCCCTAACCCTCCTCTCCTTTTTTTTTTGGTAACGAAATATCGACGTTGCATCTGGCGCCGTTTTATGTTTGTTGGTTTTTGTCTCTTGAGATGTGGTGATGGAATTACATTGATATGTAATTTCAGTTTCACTGAAACAAGACGGCGGTTCCTGTCTGTAAAGCACAACCTTCAGAAATTGAGTGAATTATACTCTTACCTTGCTTGTTATTTCAACATCCGAAGTTTTGCGTATATGGATGACGGGGAGTTGATCATTAACCCTAAAAGGGCCGGGGAGCGGAATCCGCCCCCCCCCCCTCAACTTTTTCCGCGATTGCCTTAAAAAAAATTCGCGACCCGAGCTGTTATGACTTTTTAGCCTCGAGCCTTGCGCATCTTTTGATACCAAAAACATAAAAATCGGACGACGGGTTGCCGCGCAGAGAAAAATTTTTTAACTTAATTTTTCCATTAAACGTCGTGTACACAGAGCAGAACTACCATTCATTCAAATGAATAATTAATTAGCCGTAATTCCAAAACCCTTTGACCTATAGTCATGAAATTTCTTGGGTATGTTTATGATGAAATGCTCTATGCATGTACCGACTTTCAAAATTTGTCGTCACTCGATGGCCAAGATCTTAGAGGGGGGGGGGGCGAAATCCGCCCCTACCCGGCTGAGAGATGGTCAAAATAACCCGGCCATTTCAGGGTTAAGGCAGTGCTATATTGTGCCAGAAATCACTCACATTTTTGTTTTCTTTAATCACCTAAATAGTAGTGTTCCTCCCGGTAATTTAGCTGTGTTTCGTTAAGTAGTGGTTCCCCATCTGTTCCTTTTGCCGCATTATACCCACGCACCACGCCACGTTCATTACGACACCAGCAGAGAAGCCTACGGTACCTTTGTACCCTCTCGTTCTGCCCATACAGTCCTGTCTGCTGCAGAGTCATTGTTTTTTTTTTTTTTAAGCCAAAATATAATAAGGTCTTTTATTTCACACTTTATTGGTATTCAGTGTTTGTTCTGTTGGTTTTAAAATATTTTTTTTCTAAATCTGGTTTTACTTTAGATTGGTGTGTGTTAGTTTTTGAGTGTAGTCCGGATTTCGATTCTTGTTTTCGATACCTCATTTTAGTTACTTTCTTAAGTCTTGAACTAGTTGAAGTTGAGTACACAAATTCTATGATGTGTCGTTTTGTTTGAAACTACAAAATAATGTGTATAGTGTCTCCACTATTAATGCAGTTCCTCACAAACTTTCCCTTTTTGTTTATATTTTAGTATAAAGTTTAGTATTATATTTTTTAGTTTATAGTTTTGTGTTGTGCGAGTTCCCCCCTCCTCCCAATATTACAATGGAATCGAATAAAAAAGTGTTCATGGTAGTTACAATTAATCTTAAATGAATACATTGGAGTCGAGGTGAGCTCGTCTACATCGCCCATTAAACGCGTGCTGGTGACATCCATAATATTGCGCTCCCATTGGACGAATGTTTCTAATCCGGTGACCTGGGTCAACCACGTGAGGGTGCACGTTTATTATCGTGCGCAAGGAGTTACCGAGCAACCTCGAGCTAGAAATACGATTGGTTAAAACTCACGCAATGAATTATTCATGTCGATGACGTATTACGCTCATGACGTCCACGCCATGCGCTCACGACCATCCTGTTAGTAAATAAATTATTTTGGTGTCGCATGTCTTGAATCGAAACCCAGTAACGTGGGTTTTATTCTAGACAGATGTTACATTGTCACACCACCCTCTCTTGGCCTTGTTATAATCGTATCGATTTGACTACATGATCCACTATTTGCTATTGATAATTAATAAACAAATGCAGTGTCCTTTGTGGACACGAGAAGTAACTAGATATAGTAAGCTTATTTTGTTCCATCTGTCTCAGGGTTCGAAATTAGGGGTAGCCCGCTAGCCAAATGCTAGTCAAAACAGCGGCGGGCTAGTCAAACTAGTACTTAAGTAGCCCGGCTGGCGAGTCAAAAAAATATGGGGCAAAGATGAAAGGACAGGAAGAAATAAATCATTGAATTTAGAAGTCAAATCTGTATCAATTTGTGTATAATATTATCAACTGTTTTAAATGGTTAACTGTTAACATCTGTTTATTAAAAACACTGACAAAATAGGAGGCCTATTTTTGTACCTAGGTCTCCTTGTTCGATCACGGGTTTTTTTTCACATCGCGTACTTGCGTGAGAACGAAAATGGTAACGACTCGAAGATTTACCAATATACATCAGATGGATTTTAGATTTTTTCGGGCTCGTTTAGATCACTTTTTAACACAGTTCCTATCAACTGTCACTTAATATTTGCCTGTGAATGAAATTAAATCCTTCAAGTTTGTTAAAAAAATTGTCTGCTACAAAATTATTTCATAAATTGTCATGCTTGAACGAGTGATCGAGTTCACATCGAGTGCACACGGAAGTTTTCGGAAGTGAGAGGTCAATATTTTGCACGATATTTCTCTTTCACGTCATGCGATTTTTCAGTTTACATAAAATTGCGAGGGTGATTTTCTAAGAAATCAATATACCAAACCTAATGTCAAAAACCCTAGTTCCTTTTCGAGGGGCCCTGAAGCGCGCCACCAGGTGTCAACTTTCAGGCTATATACACGTTTTACATGTATGCACATTGTTGTTTATGAGACACTCTAGTGAAAAAGCCCGCGGGCTAGTTAGGTCGAACCCTGCTGTCTACACTCTTGGCCGGCCATGGGCGTCGCCAGGATGGGGCAAGGCCCCCCCCCCCGAAAAGCAAAAAGCAACACAAAAACAAGAAGAAGGGAGAAAAAGAGGTGTGAACTTGAACTCATATTTGCTATTAATTGAATACACACTTAACCAAATGGGCGTCTGCAGGGTGTCAATGGGGTGGGGTGAGTTAACGTCCCCCGCCCACCCTCGAAAAAAATGATAAATTGAGAATATACCAGACAAAGTACAAGGTAAATGTGCCATTTTGTCTTTGAGCTTCCGGACCTCTGGTCTCCGCCATGCGCCGCCTGCGATTTATTTTTCCATACCACATATTCGCTATTATACAACACCTGAATAAATCCCCGTCATCTGATTGGTTGATCGTTGATCACATGTCATTGAATTATTCGTCCCAACGCACTGCGCGGCCGCACCACGAAAACAGAAGTTCTATTGCACGGTGAATGGAAGTTCTATTGCACGGTTTCATTACTGCCGGTGGTGGCGCTGTATTACGAATCTGATTCACAGAATGTCAAATTGACGGACGATACACGAGAATCTCCGTTGGTGCTCAGAAGAAATAGCGGAACTCTATGTGAATGCTGACGCTGCTAACACAAAGAAGCATATAAGATTTGCTGGCAAACGATTAGGCGAATTTGATTATGGTAGTTTTAACATACATAAATTGGATATGATAGTTCTGAACCTAGGAATATAGTTGCTGGCTAGTTCTGAACTTGTCGAACAGTTTTGAATAAATCGGATATTGGAAGGGACCACCAATTTGTCTGAAAAAGTAGAACATTGAAATAGAACCGGAATAGTTATTCTTTTTTGTTTTTCAGTTGACAAGTATAGTGCTCGTATAATACCCATTTGAATCACCTTTTGTTTGTTATTCCACATTATATGCATCATCACAGTTTTATAGGCACATCATCATTCCGACTTACTGGGGCAAAACAATATGGAATAGACTGTGTATAGGAAGGCAGTTAAAATGCATTACATGTAGGGGGGGTCAAAAAAATTCATAGAAATACATTAAAAATAATGCAACCCCCTCCCCGCTCTGACGCCCCCCAAAAATATACTGGTAATTATGTCCGTCTGTGCACAAAATTCAGACAGAGCCAGCTTGTTTAGGGGGTCAATATGGTATGAATAATCGTCGGATTTGAACAGCGCCCCCATTGGAAGTATGGTATGAGCCCCCCATCCCCCCCCCCCTACCACCTATTGATTTTACGGAGGCCAAGTGTCCGGACAAAAACAAACTCTGTCTACATTTCAGCAATGATTTGCTGATGACCCCCCCCCCCTGCAAAAATTCCTGGATCCGCCCCTGACATGTCAGTAAGGCCCTCTGTCGGGGGGGGGGGGTCAATAGCCTGAATCCAACACCAGCTATGTCGATTGTTCTGCCCTCGCTGGATGATTTATAGTTTAGAATTAATAACACTAATAGTTCTTTCTTCTTCTTGGCTTTATTCAACATCAGAACACTCGTACAGAAACACTTTTAAAGCGAAAGTTTACCGTGATTTTTGTCTGGTCTCTTTTACCACAGGAGAATGCAACTTGCGGAAACGGATGACATTACTTGCAGTAATCAATAAATGGTGGTAGGGTTTTTCTTCAACTAAACGTTTAGTGCTACAAGATGACAGACTCTGCTCTATAAACGTCGGCAAAATCTTGACACTATTGAGAGCAAGGGTTTTCTTTATTATGTAAACAAGCTTACAAGTTGGGCTGAGGATGGCGCTGAAAGAACTTGAAACAAAACGGTCAGACAAAAAAAACACCACAAAACACATTTTTTTTTCATGCTTTTATTGTTTCATTTTATTTATTCATGCATATAGTCCAGAAAGGAAATAACTAATTCTATATAGACATTAGCGACATAAATAGAAGCTTAAATTCAATAAAGAAATCAAATTCTGGGTTCGACCGAAGCTTGTCAATAATTCTTGCAGTAAACTCGTTCAATTCATTAGGTCTTCCGTAATGGTTTCTCAGTTTACTTTGTATTTCAAGTACCAGTTTTCACCTGTTTCAGTCAGAAAAAAATGGGCGCAATTTTGCATAACCTTGATTATGTTATCTACCATAAATTAGTTTAAGATTGCCAATGCACTTCGCACCATACGACACAAGTATAATGATGCTTAAAGGAAACCGTTATACCAAAAGCAAAATCACATAAAATATTCCAATTAGCCATTCCTAAAGGCGGTCGCGTTGTTTTTCAATGATCAAAGAAAATGTGCCACATGATTAGAAATCGCCCTAAAGTGAATGTCAGTTCAGTATTGTTAACATTGGACAAGGTTCAGCAGAATTTGAACCATGATGAGATTTGTTTCTTGAAAGACACATAACCCAGATGTATAGATCTAATTAAAGTATAATCTTAGCAGAAGATAAAACTCATGCATTTATTAATTTCAAGTGATTATCAATTAACCAGGTCTCAAACCAGTACCATTTTCACTGCAAAACTGCAGTGTTAATTGAACACCGGTAGTCCTATATAGATACCACCGGTGTCAAATTGACACTGCTGTTTGATTTGCAGTGCGTGTCGTACGTTTGCCTTCCTGATCGAGAATCCCTTTTAGTCAGTTTTCTTTTTCCAAATATTGTCGCTGGAGTTGACTACCCACACCAGGCACGACAGAGACTCAACTTGCTTCGCGGCCCCTCCGATCTGATGCCAAGTGCTACCCCAGGGTGTGGCGGGCGTCACACCCCCTCGATAGTAGATCGCATCCCCCGAGTTAACCCCGTACACCATGTCAGCCGAACTGATATACTTGAGCGCGCCTGAGACCTGTCTCCACCCAGTGCCGTCTGGGTCAGTGGGCAGGTCACCGTAAGTACCCAACCTGTAGTAGATATTATCGCCCGCATTCACACCCCACACCCCGGAGTTACCCACCGAGATCTGCTTCAATGCCCCTCCAATCTTCCTCCAAGTGTCCCCGCCCTGGTTGCAGTTGCTTGCCCCAATGCGGTGATAGATGTTGTCATGCTTATTGACCCCCCAAACATGCCCATTTTGACTAACACTGACGTGTTTCAAGGCCCCAGACACCCGTGCCCATCTCGTACCAGTTGGATTAGTCGCGGATATGCCTTGTCTATAATAGATGTTATCGTGTGAGTTAACGCCCCACACTACGTTCTTCCCCACGTCAAGCTGTTTCAGAGCCCCACCGATTTGTTGCCAGGCCGCACAGGTTGCGCTCTCTTCCTCACCGTACGAGTTGCCTCTGTAGTAGATGTTGTCGTGAACGTTGACGCCCCATACTCCTGACAGGCCCACTGATACGTGCTTCAAGGCCCCAGGGAGGCGACCCCATGCCGTGGTCGCCGGGCAAGTGTGCCCCATAGCCTCAGTGATGATGCAGAGGGCCCACACCAAGCTGAATGGGGGAAAAGAGAGAACTGAAATGAGACAAGTCTTCACCGCATCAAACGTTTTTGTCAGGCTCATAGATATAGAATAAAAATACTAGATCGGCAGCGCGTGCATACGCGCCATAGACTGTGCACACCATAGATATAGAATAAAAAGACTAGATCGGCAGTGCGCATAGACGCGCGTTCTGCCATGGGAGGCGCCATTTTTTAGCGCGTGGGGCAAAAGTTGCGTTACGCGCACCTTTTTTCCGTAGGTTTGTATGGAAAGATATTCTTATGTCCGCAAAAGTGATATTTTTGACCTGTAGTAGTTATTCCTTCAACAAAGTTCAAAAATGGGTTATCAAGCTGCATGTTCATTTCGAAGTTTGGTCCATTTTATTTCTCGTATTTATTTCCCGTTTTAAAATGCTGGTGCGCGTTGCTTAAAAAACCCTTGCATCCAGCTCTTTTGAGTGTTATTTTGTTCATCAACAAACAGAACAATGATCATTTTGAGCGTCTTATTTTCGTACCTGTTGCGCTGTCCTTTAATTTAAATTCACGGCAGCTTTTTATAGCGACAACACCCACAACATTTTTTTCTCCATTGTGCCTCCCTCGGGGTATGTCATACGCCGTAATCAGATGCCGTTTTGTACTTTTGGTTACGGGGGGGGGGGGCGGGGATGCACGCCCTCCCCAGCCCTTCTTATTTAACAAAAAAAAAATAGAACAAATAAATTTGTGTTATTTTGCTCTGTACCTCTAGTGGCGCGCGTATCCAGCATCTGAAAATCTTCAAGAAGGCGCGAGAATCTCACAATGTTGAACAAAATGGGTACCAAAAGTAGAGCACAATGTAAATAAACTTGAGGAGTTAATAAGGTTATTCAGAAGTTCGGAACATTACGGGAGTGTCATTTAATTTGATTCTTAAAACGATTTTCAGGGGCAATATTATTGTCATTAAAAGTCAGACATATAATACTTATAATGCAATCAAAGTAAATTGTTCTCATCCAAAAAAGATAATAACTGTAACAAAAATCTCTAAAATCATCCATTGAAACATTTCACAATTTTCTTAAATAATTCAACGGTAATTTAAAGCAGTTTTTACATTCTACGTTTTACTTTTCATTGTTGTTTATAAACAGTGTCTTTATACACATTTTATCAGATTAGCCGACATTTATTTGGATATTTTTTAGCAACGTGCACCACAATTTTGAAACGAAAAATAAAATCGAGGGGAAATTGGAGCAAAATTCGAGGTGACTATCCAGCTTGAAAATGCATATTGAATTTTGTTGGATACATAATAACTACTGGTAAAAAATGTTACTTTTTCGGACTTAATAATGCAAATTTGTGCACAAACCTACGGGAATGTAGGTGCGCGTAACGCACGTTTTGCCCCACGAATCGCGAACAGCGCGCGGTGACCAATCACACAAAATATGGTTTCTTACACGTCCGCAAAAGGCGAACCACTTTACGGATGAAATCACAACCAGCATCAAAACAGCTCGAATTTTGGGGGTTGCAAAAGTGGACCCTGAAATTTGTTCTCGTACGCATCGTAAATGTTCTTTCAGATTAACATCATTGCGTTCAAAGCGCGTTTTGTAGCCCAATTGGGCTGTTCTAGGACCCTGTGTCCCTTTAAGACCGGCCACGTGACGGCCTTTCGACCAATAGGAATGGGTAAACTGTTTGTATGAATGAAATTTAAACATTTTCAACGGATATTAACACAAGTTGTTGCAAAAATGATGATTCATTATGTGTGGCAAGTTTACAAATCGTTCCATTTATACCCGTGGGAGAGGCCTTTCAATGCAATTTTCTTAGCGGAAGTAATGTTTTTCGCGTCAGAACGCTTATAATGCCCTTCTGCCATACATATTTACGAATAATCAAAAGAAAAAATCCCAAATTCTAACAATTCTTTTTGTGCGGAAATATCTGTAACATTGAGGTTTCTGCCCGGATCACATAGCTTTGCTCATGAATATTGAAAATTTGCATTAGAACCCCCCCCCCCAAAAAAAAGCAATAGGGGGCCCTTTAAGTCTTTGGTAGCGTGTGTTGCTTATTTTGTACTTCCAGCAAACCAATGATTATAACATTAGTAATTAATCTATTGTTTTTGCAAAGTTGATTTTTAAAGTTTGCAAAAAGTGCCAACAACGGGTTACCAAAGAAGGGTCTGTTCGATTAATCTTTCCTTACGGGCTGTAAATAGTCGAAGCAACAAGATAGGTGATTATGCGTGTCTTCACCTCTACAGATTCCAGGCCCTCTCATTTGAAATATGGCCCCAATTTCATGGCGCTGCTAAGGACACGATTTTCTGCTAACAGAGCCTACCTGTAAGGAAAGATTCCCATATCTGGCCATCACTTGTCACCCTGTGCACAAACCCTATGAGGCTGGTGTAAAAAATTCTGTGTTTTCTCAGTAAATATCTTCCCTTATACACTAAACATTACTGTCATAAACGGGGCAAGTGGACCAGCGAGGCTACAGCCCGTTGATTCAAAATAAATTACTATTGTACGTAGGCCATCTCATTTACGTGAGAGTTGAGACAGAAACTGTATTTTTATTCAAAGACAGTGTCTGTCAAGAATTTTGGGAAATACTGAAAGCTGTAACATAATGAAACTTACCAATGATACTTGAAGACCATCTTTAAGACGGTGTTGAATCGAGATAACTGCAGACAATGTGATCCAGTACACCTGTTGAGCAAAATGTTAAGAAATATTCGGATACTCGCTTTGCTTGAGCGAATGGTAAATTTACGCAGAAAGGAACTTGAAACAAAACAATGTTATTTCTAGACATCAAACTAGCGGAATCTTCTTTTCCATTAAAATAAGACGAACTGATTGAAAATTCGTTAGATGGAAAGAGCAATTATAGGTTTTCCTGGCTAATTTAAAACGTTTTTATTCCAATTCACCAATTGTATTATTCAAATTCGTTCGAGAAAAATGTTACATGATGTAAATTAAATCAATTTAGTCATTTCCCATTCAATCTCAAAGTTTGGTCAACGTGTTAATGTATGGTCAAGAATTATTCGTTAAGTACCGTCGACAGAACTCGTCTCAACTTTTGCCGAATGACAGCATTTGTAATGATCAAATTCGTATTATGTCCATCAATTTAAATAATGTGTTAAGTAAATTAATCTGGTGTGTTCTAAAGCATTTTTCGTTCGAATTCACCGATTCTAATATTCAAATTCGTCCATCAATATCGATTTAGTATACATTTCCAAAACTTAATTTCGTCTTTTGTCAGACAATTTCAAATTTAGTTCAAGTAAATTAAAGCAATGAGCACACGTGTGTCCAAGAATATTCAATTTCGTCTCGTCTACGCCAAACCTTGTTATTCAGAAATCAAATTCGTCTAATGCCACACAATTTAATCATAATTTTGTTCAATTTCGTCATACTTCATTGTGATAGCTTCAGTGGAAAGCAAAAAAAGCCGATAATAAGAAAAAAAATCCAGTTTTTCTTTCCTTGTTTCTTCATAAATTTATAGTTTGTTTCTTTCGATTTTATCTTATGTAAAATATGTTAGACTCACTATTTTCGGCACATCACACAGGGATTTAACGGTTAAGCACAATTCGGCGCATTCGCTCGCATGATTTTATCGGACCAGAGTGTACAGACCCTAAAGAACAGTTACCAAAAAAGTGTAAAGATGACCAAGATCAACAAAACAACATACGTTAAATAAATAAACGAAAAAAATAAGAAAATGAGAGTGGAAAATTCCAAAACACACGATTCGGTAAGGTCAAGTGGGTAATGCCCAAGCACACACCAAATTAATACTTGCTATAAGACGAATTCGATCCCTAAATGCTGCCGTTCTGCAACAGCCTAGATGAATTTGATCTGTAATAACGATTATTCTCGACCCGATGTTTAAAGAGTGTTACCAAACTTCAAAATTGAATGGTCAATTACTAATTCGGATTTGGTAAAAGCGTGTAGAATCTTTCGCGACATATATACATTTTTAATTTGGAAACGAGTAAAACCAGTGTTACAATGAAAGCAGAAAATGACAAAAACTACGATGACCCTTAGTTCCCCGTGTAACATCTATGTGTCGTAATTTCAAGAAGATAGTTAAATCAAAAGAAACAACAATACATTTATCAATATACGAGAAAATTAAGAAATTGATTTTTTTCTTATCAGCGTCTAATGCCTTCAACTATCTTGTTTACTCAAAAGTTGTGTGAAAGAGGAAATTAAGGGGCATCGTAATTTTTGACATTTCCGATTTTCATTTTAACATAACTTAATATTCTTTCCATCTGTTAATTCACTTTTACTTTATACTTTGTTGTTTCTGGTAATCTCTTCAAAAAATTCTTTTGTTTATATTTAATTTAGTTCAGAACACCTATCAGGTGTGGTAACGTTTCAAGAACGAATGTGCCGCATTGTGATCGAGAACGCACGGGAAATGCTTATTCACACAGCAGACTCATTCACTTAACACAAATTGAAATTGATTGACAAAAGACTACTTGGATCTCTAAATGCTGTCATTGGGCAATAGCTGAAACGAATTCAATCTGCTGTGACGAATATTGTTTACCAAGTACTTAAATAGATAAAGACCAAACTTTGAAATTATTGAATGATATTAAATCACTAGTTTATTGTTTTGCTAAAATCATGTAAAATTCTTCTCGGACGAATTTGAATATTTGGTAAATTGAAATGGAAAACATTTTCAAATAGCCAGGAACCTATCTTTATAAAGTGTATGTCCCTCGGTATTAAAATTAGAACATGAAAGACGACAAGATGTATTTTACTAGGAACCATAACAATCACAGAAATAAAACATTGGCAAACTTTTATCAGTATTATCAATTAAACAGCTAATATAAAAAAATAATAACATAATACGTTTGGCTTAATGTTTCCAACTGTCCCTTCAAACATTTTACCCCAAATGAGATTATTCGCACTTACCACAGACAATGCTAGGCGAAAGTTGGCTCAGATGTCTGGTGCTTCTCTCTGCAATGTTGGTTGTGGTGTTCAGATCGACGATTGAGGCGTTCTTATACCCTTCGGGCGTCATTTCACTAAATGGTAATCAAAAAACTGCCGGAAGGATATTAATTATGTGTTTTATCTGAATTTTGTCAGTGTAACACTTATGTGCAATTGGTTTTTGTATTATTATTTTGACGAATTCATGTCAACCACTCCGTTTTAAATATTATAGAGGACCACAGTTGAAAAAAAGCTGCTGGTAGCTTTTTGTTTAATCCTCGACAATGCCTCGGATGTGCATTGTATAATTGTTGTTTTTAGTTTGAACTTTTTCAAGTTTCAACTTTTTCTTCGCTCACTTGAGTGAACTTATACCTTATAGGGAAGGGTATGTCATATATAGTTAATTATAATGTGCATGTGTTACTGGAATGTGCCCATATTGTAGAGTGCCCGTGGTTAATGAGACTTGAAATTCTGGTCAGTTTTTCTTGGGGTCCGATCCGGTCAGTTGGTAGCCTTTAGTCAAGTCCCACGTAAGGACAGCATCCGGGGTGCGTCACGTCGTGTCCGGGTAAGCGCGTGGGACTTGACTAAAGGCTAGTCAGTTGGGAGCAGAGTCTTCTGGAATAGTCAACACATTTTGCAGGACTCTCAAGCAGAGACATTTTGCCAAACTTGGTCCAGAGTGCCAATACCTAAAGAGTTTTGAAAATAATCAAGTGTCCTTTGTATATTGTAGATCATTACTGGATGCTGATGACGCTGCTCTTATGCAGGGAACAACCAAGTGTTATTGAACCATGGAGGAAGAATAGTCTATTTCTTCCTCTATGTCTCCATGATTGAACAAAATATGTTGACCGCAGAATTGAAATCTGTCTGTGATAGGATGGCTGACAGCAAACTATCTTTGAATCTTGGAAAATGGGATATATTGTAACCAAACGAATTCGCAAGCTGCGAATTCATTTGTGTACTGACAAAAGTTTAAATAGTAAGTTTTAAAGGACTGTTAGGAATGTTCAGCTACTTTCTGCCCTTCCATGAGATCTGCTTAATGTTTGTTGACATTGTTAAGCGAACAAGCAAAATGCCTGACCAATTTAGTCGAGCATGAGGGCGTGGTGCAGCGCGAAATTCAAGACGGTCATTAGGCTGTCTATTACTTTGCTACCATCATGAAGCCTCGCCTAGCTGTATCTGGCTCTTGACCCATTTTCGTGCAGAAGTACCTTCCGATGAGCCCAATTCCAAAACCAATTTTCCAATGTAATTTTGTATGTTTTAGTGACTGTATTTGAGTAATTTGAACATTGCTGGTACCTGTATTTGGTGCCTCCATCAGTATTGCATTATTGTGGCTAATTCATATCCTCATTGCCAGGCGCGTACGCAGGGAGGGGGGGTGTTTTGGCTGTTAAACACCCCCCTTTGCCATGTAAAAATATGGAGGGAAAAGAGAGTTATGTGACCGAGCGCGGAACAATTACAAATTATGTGCATGTTCTCAACTTTAAGCTTTGAATACAGAAGACACTTTATAAGAGCAAGAATACATAGGCCTATATGTATTTGAAACAAATGAAACAAAATCTCCCCTCAATTTTAAAAACTTCTGCTAAAAAAATCAGGGGAAAAGTGGCCAGGAAACGCCTCAGATTGCACCACAGAGCATCTACGATCCAAAATTTCCCGGGGCCCTTAACCCTAAAGGGGCCGGGGGAGGGGGGCGAAATCCGCCAGCCCCCCCCCTCAACATTTTCCGTGATAGCCTCTAAAAAACAATTTCGCGACCCGAGCTGTTATGACTTTTTAGCCTCGAGCTTTGCGCATCTTTTGATACCAAATGCAGAAAAATCGGACCACGGGTTGCCGCGTAGCGAAAAAATTTCCGGCGCTACGCGCCGTGAAAACTGAATGTTCGCATATACGTCGTGTACACAGAGCAGAATTGCCATTCGTACATATGAATAATTAATTAGCCATAATTCCAAAGCCCTTTGGCCTTTAGTCATGAAATTTCTTGGGTATGTTTAGGAAGAGTTGCTCTATGCATGTGCCGAGTTTCAAAATTTTTCGTCACTCGATGGCCGAGATCTTAGGGGGGGCGGAATCCGCCCCCCCCCCCGGCTGAGAGATGGTCAAAATAACCCGGCCCTTTTAGGGTTAAGCGGGCCCCGGACCCCACGCCGTATTAAGTGCTTCGCGCTCCGCGCTCGCATTAGTCCTCCGGCCAAATTCCCTCTATGCTAATTTCACGCTAGCGGTGCCCCCACCTTATTTGTACCTCATTCAGCGAATGGCTGAGGCTCGGACTACAAGTGGCCTAAATCCCTTTCCAAAATAGAAAATTGTGAAAAAATACGGAGATGGAACATGGTTCTCAACTTTGAGTACATAACAAACTTTATGAAGAACAAAAAAAAATAACAAATTTTAATGGAATTTTCGATGTTTAAAACGTTTTCTAAACGGTGGAAGTGGCCAGGAATCGCCTCAGATTGCACCACAGAGCATCTAAAATCCAATTTTTTTCCGGGGCCCTTAAGCGGGCCCCGGACCCCACGCCGTAAGGGCTTCACGCTGCGCGCTCGCAGGTCCTGGACCCTTCATTACAATTCTAGGCCCCCCCCCCCGGCAAATGGCAGTCTGAATCCGCCCCTGTGACCAGAGCGCATATGTATCGTGTATCTGGAGTTTGGCCTTAGGGGTGGGGGCAGCTTACACGGATTCACAACGGATGAGAATCATGAGATCCAGGGGACAAAGCTGAGTAATTTTAGCAATATTACAAGAACAGATCCTAGCACTTCCGCAGCCCGTGTCACTTTTTTTCTTGAATTTCTTCTTTTTTTTGTTTAAATGCTGTTTGTTGAGGGAGGGGACTGCCCACATTGACCCCTTTACTCATTATGTTCATCATAAGACCCAGAACATGTTTTGTTTTTTTCGATTTACTATGTTTGGCGCCAACACAAACTCCCGACTTTTATTTTAGCGTTAAGTTTAGCCCACTGATACTATTTTTATTTCGGGCGCCAACACAATTTACCATCTTCATTTCTAGCGTCATAAATGATGACATCCAATTTTAAACACCCCCTTGAAAAAATCCTGCGTACGCCACTGCTCATTGCTATTATGCTAAACAACCTGCTGATGACGCTGCACTTATGCAGGGAACAACCTAGTGTTATTGAACCATGGAGGAAGAATAGTCTATTCCTTCCTCTATGCCTCCATGATTGAACAAAATATGTTGACCGCAGAAGTACCTTCCGATTAGCCCAATTCCAAAACCAATTTTCAAATGTAATTTTGCATGTTTTAGTGACTGTATTTGAGTAATTTGAACATTGCTGGTACCTGTATTTGGTGCCTCCATCAGTATTGCATTATTGTGGCTAATTCATATCCTCATTGCTATATGCTAAACAACCTCAACTCCCAAAGTTTGGTTATTTAACATGTCGTTATTTTTGTATTATACAAACTGCAGAAAATTTTCTTGTGTAAAAAAAATGTTTACACGTATTTATTAGTGTCATTGATAATTTTATTTCAGGAATCCATTTCTGTGGCCATTTGCAGCGGTAGCTGTTGAGACGGTACCCCCCCCCCCCCCCCCCCCCCAGTCACTAACTTTCTGGCAGGTACATGATTGTTAATTTTTTCAAATTTCAAAAAATTAATTAAGATAAGCATTGCATATTTTCCCGTGCATTTGGCATCACTTTAACTCTATATTATGTACATTGAATAAGTATTCTTTTCAATTTATGAATTTCTCCTGTTTGGTATATAATCCATTTTGTTTGGACATAAAATTGTAACTGTGGAAATTTGAATATTTCAAATGCCTCGCATGTACATGTACTCTAAAATGTCAAATTTAATTGTTGCAACTCCTGAAATCATGCCCACCTGGATAAAATGTTGTAATCATTATATTGTTCATAATACTTGCTAAATTTGCCCACTCCAAGTGATGTCCATGTTTCCTCTCTACACAGACGCCCTCATTCTTGAAGCCTTGTATTTCCCCTTGTAATTGTCACTTATTTTCCCTTGTTTTACCCGGACCAACTTTGTACCTATTCTCTAATTCTGCAATGTTAATCAGACACACACACGAAATCATTTTTTGTTAAGTTTCTAATTGAATAAACCATCTTGTGAGCGACCTGAACATTAAGTTTCCAACTGAGAGTTGTATCACCTTTTTTCGTCTGGGTTAAAATATGGTTCGGTCAAAAGCGTCAATTGCACAATCGCAATGACTTGAACATTTTTAGTAACAGTAGTAACATTAAATCCAAGTTGACTGTCAAGTGCCTAGGTGCTGCTGAACTTGACAAGGAACTAAGTGGTGAAACAATGGCTGCCAAGGTTATAAATGGGAAGGTTAAATGGTAGACTAGAATTTCTGTACCGTAAAACCAAATTCTTTGACCATTCAATCAGAAAATGTGTGGCTTCAGCATTGATCCATTGTCATTCATATGAGTACTGTTGATCATTCTGGTATGATAGCCTGACTATACATACATGTACCAAAATAAAATACAAACTTCTCCAAATAAATTGATACGATTCGTTGTCAATCTTAAACCTATGACATCATTTATTACTGGGGACAAATTACGAAATGAACTTCCCATCAACTTACCTAACACAACCTTTAAAAAAAGTAAAAATGCACTTTTTGCTAAAACGTTACACATTCAGCATTATCAAGGCATATTGGTCGTTGTTGGTTGACGTGGTCGCGTGTTAAGGCTTGATTGTCTAATTTCCGTGGTAATTGTGAAAAAAAATAGTTATTATTTTTTTTTCCGCACTTGATACAACTGCTGGTCGCACTTTAGTAATGTGTTTCATCAGAAGTTTGTCTGTATAATACTCCACGCTCAATCGATTTTTGTATTAATTCTATTAATTCATAAAACCGCTGTTTTTTAATATTACAGAGGATAATAAGCTGCTGGTAGCTTTTGTGTACAGACTATCCTCGATAACGACGCGCCTCGGAGATACATGTATTATGAGTCCATTGTTTTATATGTATTTGGTTTGTAACTTGCTGCGATATTCTTGCAGAATGTCAATTAAAAACACACAAACAAACAAACAATCGTTCAATGACATTTGAGCAACCACGAACATACACGAACCAATGAGGCCGGTTGATATCGGTGTATACTAACAGGTTTGCCCGCGGATGACTATTATTGGAGTGATTTGGCTGAAAGAACTTGAGCCAAAACGTTCATGTTCATGCTGTTAGTATTACTTTTTTAATTATTCATGCATTTGAATAGTCCAGAAAAATAAATAAGTGATGCTCAATACATTTTATAGGATCACGAAGATCCTAGTTCGCGTATAACATAGAAGCGTTAATGCAATAAAGAAGTCAATTCTGGGTTTGGATGTAAACACCTTGCAATGCATTTCAAAAAAATGGCAGCAAATTCATCTTCCGAAATGGTTTCTAAACGTGTTTTATATTTCGCATAATGGTTTTCATCTGTTTCAGTCAGAAAAATAATAGGCGCCGCATTTTGCAAAACTTCCAGTATCGTTTCTACCATAAATAATTACTTGAACACATGACAGATGTCTTTGAACCATACGACAATGAAGTATGAATTATGTTGAAGGGAAACCGTTATCTTGTTGGACAAGCTCTATACCAACAAGCAAAACCACATTGCAATATTCGCAATTGTCATTCCCAAGACGGTCCCCGGTTGGTTTTTTTTCACGGAATGACTGGACACAGCACACGAAGTGCAATAATTTTCACCACCGCACATACAAAAATGGAATAGACCGAAACATTACGCCCCGCCCAATGGTGTTTCTACCAATCACAGCCATTATTTAGGTCGGCCATGCGTGCGCGTGCACCATGTCTGACAGCGCGGGCGCTATAGTGACGCGCGCAGCTGGATGGAATACGCAGGGTTGGCATCGGAGAGTCGCGTGTTGGTTGCCTACCACGTGTTCAGTGGGCGGGGCTTATTAAATTGATCTGTCTATAGACCGCTTGCAGACGCGTTCGATAATCGACGCGCGAAGGCGCGCGACGCCATGTTGTGGGACAGGCGTATATCAATTCACGCACATTTTGTCCCATAACATGGCGTCGCTCACCTTAGCGCGTCAATTATCGAACGCGTCTGCAAGCGGTCTATTTGGCGAATGGATTCCGCCGAGATTTCTTCAGTTCAAACATTCAAAATGATTAGTGGTCACTGGAAACCACCCAAAAGTGAATGCCACCATGCTCGGCAAGGGAAGTTTCTGTTTCTTATTTTCTAAAGTTACTAATTTACTTAATACAGAAGTTGAACATATCAATTTGTTTGTTATTTGGAACTTTTTCCTTTACCAAGTTGTTGTTGAGAGGATTCAAATATTTTTTCAAGGGAAAATAAAGTCCGAGAACCTGACTTGCAACTCAAAGTGCTTTATTTAGTAAACGCCCATAGCAAATTAGTGGTATGGACAAAAAATCGCGAACGGCCTATATGGGAATTTTGCACTGCATTCTCTTCTATTTTAGACAACTTACGACCTTTCACATCCAGCATTTTCGTACCTAGGTCGCCTAATTGTTCGATCACGTTTTTTTTCACACACGGACTTGCGTGAGAACGAAAATTATCGATGCGAAGATTTACTTAGCTTCAGCCGATGGATTCTAGATGTAGTCCGATTTGCTTGAAAAAATATATATATACAGTGTTTATTAATTATCCTTTCATGTTTGTTTGTAAATTAATATTTATTCATTTATTCTGTTTTTTTAACCAGGGGGGCCCTGCATCCATTACATGTTATTTAATGAATCCTTCAAGTTTGTTTAAAAAATAACTGTATATCCTCTCTATGGCCGTCACAAAATTATTTCATAAATGTTCGTCTTTGCACTAGTGCACCGAGTTCAACTATACAATAGTCCACATTGTATTTTAGATTTCGGTGTAAATTTTTGGTAAGATATTTCACTATCACGTCAGGCCGTTGGCAATTTTCCAGTTTTCATAAATTGAGATGCTATTAACAATTTTACAAAGGCCTTTTTTTTCGAGGGTGATTTTCGTAGGGAATCAATGTATCAAAAATGATTGAAAATTTTAGAATTGTTGCATACTGTGTACATGTATTTGTTTCCTATTCAGTTCAAGGGTAACGCGTCTTTAGTTTCAGGCTCTGTTTATTTGTGGACCACAAGAGGGCGCCCTACTGTAATCGACATCCGGGATATTTCACCAACCTCCGACCTTTTCAACGTTGTGGACCCGTGAATGTGAGAGGGAATGATGAAAGATATCTTTTGAAAATCCGAAAATATCTTCTTAATCATACTTTGAATGTTATTTCGAATCATTTTATATTAAATATCGTTAATCAGTGATAAAGAAGGATGTTATCATTGCAGGATTTGTCCGTAAACCGTGTCAAAAATCGACATTATATTTTCCATTACTGATGTACAATTACAGCAAAGCTGTTTTGGGGGCAACTGTAAAATGGCGTTTTCGTTTGCATATACGGGCTGTGACTAGACCCTGTAAAACTCCCTTTTTTTCGAAACTAACGAGGGGCCCATAACTACACGATCGCGCGGTTTGCCCTTTTTTACGGTTGGTGATGAACGATTCAGTGTGGTTGCGCACACGTTACATCACGGTCATGACGGTGATCGCCATCTGAATCTGACTTTACAATTACATGCTTTATTTTCGTGTTGCGTTTACTTTTGTCGTCATCGTCATTTTTATTCCTCCTTAGGCATGGAAGGTCTCCCTCCCTCCTCAAAACCCTGCCCTCTATCAATAACATACCATAGGCCCACTTGTTTCTTCAATGTTGCCAACTACTGAACTAGTTTGTTATAAGTAAACGCAGTGGCTATTGTTACGGCAGCCGTAACGCATTTCCCATTTTCTATCGTTACGGTAGACTGCAACCTGGCAACTTTTATAAAAAAACATGACAAGAAAATATAAAATTAGAAGGAAAAAAGTGAATTTGAACTTTATGAAATTCGGACTTTATTTCCCTTTTAAAAAAAATCCTCCAAAGCCTCAGGTTAGAAAAGGAGAAAAATTCGAGTGCAAAACTGAGATTCGAACCCATAACCTCGCAGTGCAAAATCCTACCCTCTATCGGCTGAGCTGGCGCACTGCTCGAAAAAACGTGGGGAAACAAATAATTATATACCTGCGTGCGTATCAAAAAAATGTCGTAGAGGGCGCTAAACAACTAGTGCCGTAACGATAGTCACTTCGATAAGTAAAATAAAGGAAAACATTTCGCAACCTGAGGCCACTTTTATCTTCATCCTAGGCCTACTAATAAATATCAACCCAAATGAAGGTCATTCATTGTAAAACATAATGATAAAACAGGAATCTGGGACTGAGAAACATTTCCAATTTTTTTTACTCTACATAGACTTGAACACAATCACGGAAGTGGCGTCAGGTTGCAACATTTTTTTTCCCAAATAAATTGGGAAAGATTCCCATATCTGGCCATCAGTAATTTTTCCCTTAAATGACCTATCAGCCATCAGAAAGTGATAATCCTATGTCCTAAAACTTCAAAATTAGCAGGGACAAATTTTGAATTTTTACTGAGAAAACACTTACAAATGTTTACACCAATCCCTTAGGGTTTGTGCACAGGCGTCAAGTGATGGCCAGATATGGGAATCTTTCCAAATTTGTTTTTCTGTGAGAAAGAACGTAAGCCAACAAGTATTTGAAATGATTTTTGTAGTAAATCCAGCCCTATGAGTATGAATAGTTTGATAAAGGTCTGGTTTCAGCCTGTCCTACCTGGTTGTTTCTCTCACCAGACTAATCTGCCATCATGGGCCGCGTCATCCGTGGTCAGCGTAAGGGGGCTGGGAGTGTCTTCAAGTCCCACAACAAGCACAGGAAAGGACCGGCCAAGCTTCGCTCGCTGGACTATGCTGAGCGACATGGATACATCAAAGGCATTGTCAAGGTAACAATTATTGTACTAGACTGGCATTCCACAATAAATTGGGCCTAACCAAAGAGTAGCCTATTCGGAGTGACTAAGACCCAAATATATTTTAGTTTCAGACGGACAAACTTTAGTCTGAGTAAAAATCAGGGGTGTGAAATCTCAGCTTTAAAGCTGATTTCAGCTTTTCTTGTTTTGGATTTCAGCTTTTTTTCAGCTTTTTCCCTCACATGCTGTGTACAAAAGTATAGGAGATTTCCAAAGTTCAGCTTTTTTACACCTTTTCAGCCGTTTTCAGCTATTTTTATCAGTGGTTACTCACACCTCTGAAAAATTAATTTCTCGCCTTGCCTTTTTGAAAGATTTAAGGAGACAGACCCTTTTTTTCCCCTGTCTTTTTCCTTTTTCCCCAAGTAGTGGTTTTTCAAGATGGCGGATGGATTCTCCCATTTTCTTTACTCCTTTCATGGTACAAAAGTGTGTCCAAAGGAGCCGTCGCCCTTTCTACAAAGCTGCAATTGCCGGCAGCCGCATCTGCGTAGCGTGCCGGTTCAAAGTTGCACGCAAAGCATGCCGGTTGTGTGAGATGAGCGATATTATGGGCTGCTGTATTGTTTTGCTGTATTTTATTACTGGCAAAGGTTTTAACATGCTAAAAGATTGGAAACAGTGAACTGTTGTTGACAAAAAGTTGCCACCGACAAATAAAAGTGGCATCTGACAATAAAGCACCCAACAGTACGATGTAAATAACGTGACAGTCATGTGGGTGTGCGTAAAAATGTTTGTTTCTTTTTTCTCGAATATTCAAAACTGAAAAGCTATTCGAAAATTCAGTCCAGACATCCAGAACAGCCCTAGTGCTAGACTATCCTTATGAAAAATGTCTAAATTATTGTCACAAACCTAGTTAATGGGTTGAATTGTTTTGTTTGGTCTTTCAGGACATCATCCATGACCCAGGCCGTGGGGCTCCCCTAGCCAAGATAGCCTTCCGTGATCCCTACAGGTACAAGAAACGCAGCGAGCTCATGATAGCTGCTGAAGGCATGTTTACTGGCCAGTTCATCTACTGTGGAAGGAAAGGTAACTGCTCCCCCCCCACCCCTCTCCCCTCCCCTTCCTAAGTCTAGTTTGGTTTTTAGTAGTGTCTCAGTCATATGGACTTCACACTAGTATGTGATATATTTTTTTTGGGGGGGGGAGTTTTGAGAGTTATGGTCCTGCTGGAGTTTACTCTGTCTAGAATATTCATAGATCTACAGTAATGAATTCATCTTTTGCATTTCACAGTTTTTGAAAGTTGGGAATTTCAGTAATACTGAGAAGCAGGTTCAAACCCCTCTCAGTCAATTTCTTTGTTCGACTTAAAACAAATTATATTAAATAATAAGGAATAACGGTCAATTCAAGTAATCTCGTCTTTTAAGAAAGGTTGTTATGAAAAGAACCAGTTGGGACATTGTGCTTCCTTTAAAAAAATAATAAACCTTAACATTGCATTTACCTCTGCCATGCAAAGTATTAACTCCTATATACTGGTGATTTTAACTTAAACTCCTGTCTCATCTTGGCCCTCCTCAGCTGCCCTGACTATTGGCAATGTCCTCCCCATCGGCTCCATGCCTGAAGGAACCATCGTCTGTGCCTTGGAGGAGAAGACCGGAGATCGTGGCAAGGTGGCCCGTGCCTCGGGCAACTACGCCACGGTCATCGCTCACAACCCTGACACGAGGAAGACGAGGGTTAAGCTTCCATCGGGAGCCAAGAAGGTGGTTCCCTCAGCCAACAGGGCTATGGTTGGTAAGTGCGGAGACAGACATTGGCCCACCTCATCCCCTGCGGGAGATTTAGTTCCTAAAGATGCAGTCAGATTGTTGCTTAACACTAAGGTCTCCGTGCACAAGTACCCCTTAACCCTCATATGGAAACGTGCATTCTGAGCCTTGTTTTTGCTTGGGTCAATATTGGCCATGTGACCCATTGGTTTCTTAAGAGTATACCAGGGGGAGAGAAAGGACATTTTGACCATCTGTGACCTTTTAAGCAGCAGGAGGGTTAAATGTTAAAGAGAGAAAGAGATTTGGGCAGGACTGTCAAATGCATTGTTAAAAAATTAAATGCGACAAAGTAAGACCAAAAAGAATTGGCAGTGCATTTGATGAATTTTCAAAGACAACGCTTTCTCGTTATCAGACCGGTTCAAATGTCATGCAAATGCAAAGCAGATTTGACATTTATACCAAACATTTTTTAAAGAATGTGAACCAGCCATTGGGCAAACATATACAACATGCTTCTGTTGTTTAAACCATTCTGGATCTGGGCCCAATTTCATGGCGCTGCTAAGCACACGATTTTCTGCTAACAGAGCCTCTGTCTATTTCATGGAGACCGTAAGCATAAGCACAGCAAAAGGCACGCTAACCTCGGAGGAAAATTTTGCTTAACTTAGTGACGTAAAAATCAAAATCTCCGTACACGTGCGACAGTTACCACATCCACGGCGTGAAATAGTGCTTAAGGTTAGCACACTTTTCTGCTACGCTAAGGACAATTTTTTTGCTAACTTTTAAGCAGTGCCGTGCAATTAGGCCCTGGTCGTAAGCTCTGCCCACCGTTGCTTTGTGTACATTTTTCTCACAGTCTCTGTGACTAAGGCCATGTCCGAATTACAGGCTACGGCTTGAAGTTACACATGAGTCTATGGGAAGTGGCTGCAGCCATTACTATACACTCATGTGGATTTTCAAGCTATAGCGAAGTAATTTTTACCGAGTTACCGTGGTCACCTGACCAAACGTCATGATCTAATTGGTCGATGCGTACTGTTTGATTGACAGGTAGGTAGGGTCCATTGCAGACTGGGATTTGAGTATTTACTCGTTCTTTTTTTGCATCTCCTTCCAGGGATCGTTGCCGGTGGTGGTCGTATCGACAAGCCTCTCCTCAAGGCCGGACGGGCCTACCACAAGTACAAGGCCAAGCGTAACTGCTGGCCCCGTGTGCGTGGTGTGGCCATGAACCCCGTCGACCATCCCCACGGTGGTGGTAACCATCAACATATCGGTGCGCCCTCTACTGTCAGGAGAGATACGTCGGCTGGTCGCAAGGTAAACGAAAAGCACTGTGAAGCCATTTTTGTTTTGATTATTTACGTTATAAAGGTCATAATGTCAATCATGGCGGGGTTTACAAGATGAAAAACTTAATTTGGGCTTGTGCATAAGAGTTGAAAGAAACATGCAACCATTTTGTATTAAGCACCTTGAGCGAAACTTCTGAAAGTCAGTGTGACAGCTGTTATCAGTCAAAACACGGAGCATGGATTAATAGATCATTCAATTAAAATAAAAATCTGATCAACGAGGCAACTTGACGTTGTTTTGTAAAATTAAAATACCAAATTCCCTTATTTTTTTCTTCCATCTCACTTCACTTTCCAGGTCGGTCTGATTGCCGCCCGTCGTACCGGCCGTCTCCGTGGAACAAAGAAGATCCCAGTCGGTGACAAGGAATAGACTACCCCCCCCCCCCCCCTGCAATCACCAAACAGAATTGACTTCATCAAAGTATCATAGCTTGGCTTTCAACATCAAACGGATGATGTTTTACATAGATCATCTATTGCATTGTGCATGATTTGCACTCTAATAAAGAAGACGTACAGTATACAGTAAAGATATTGTGATATTGCTCATTTTTGTGTGTGTATGAGTTTGTTTCTGCATTCAATAGGGGACGTTGAACAGTAGAGGACAATAGGGTCCCCAATTCCCGAAGGTCCCCAATTTATGATCGTGTACAAAACATAGGGGATCTAAATCGTTTTAAGTACATGTACAAACAAAAGAGACAATAGAGGGTCTCGGGCAAATACACACTTGTAAATGTATCTAAGAAACTCAAACCCTCAATTTTGAGGCATAACATGATCTAACAACTGTGAAAAAAGTCTCCTCAAACTTTGTCCATCAATTCCTGAAATAATTTCATCCCTCCTTCGCCTCTTGATGGATTTTTTTCTTGAATTTTTTTTTTTTTTTACAGAATTGTTTAAATTGATAAACCATATCAAGACTTGCGGGAACCTCCAATAACGCTTTGGCCTATTATTATGACATCTTTGACGTATTCCAACATTTGTCAACGGGTTTACATGATGCCGAAAAATTGTTAGTCAAAGCAACCGCTCAAAAATTTGTCAGTCATAAATTAAAGTGTATTTTTTTTTAATGCATCTTGATTAAAATATGGAAACAAAAATTTTTTAAAAATGGGGGGGGGGAGAGAAGGGAGGGGCGTCGTCTTTATCCAAAACTGAATTATTCAAAGAAGAGAGAATAGCATGGGCACGTGATCAACTAAAACAATGGATAACTGCTAAAAACGAATTTTCAAATCCAAGAATAGTTTATTAATGTCGAAGTGAATTCTGAACATGACAGTTCATCAAGTACGTAAAATCAGACACATACTTTACAATAAATAGTTTCATGATTTGATAAAGACAATATTTCCTAACTGCAATATTCATAATAAACATGTACAAAAATGTACATGTAAGGCCAAAAAAAAATATATTCGGTCTCTGGTCAGACCAAAGTTCCGGAATTGACGCGGCCACGCGGCTTTTTTTTTTTTTTTTTGCTTTTTTTTTCTTCAAGCTTGGATTGTACAGACAAGGTGGGGTACTATTTTGCTTTTTTGGTGTCCTCATGTACATTGGTTTCCTCCATAATTTGCCTTGGTGCTTTCGATCATTTGCCTTGGTGCAATCTCCCATTCCTTGGTGCTCTTTGGTAAAACAAAATTGAGGAGGTGCGGAAATAGAGGGCGCTGTTGGAGCTACCGCGGAACATTTTGAAAAAAAAAAGATCGACGCGCATGATTAAAATCGACGCGCGCGCTGACCAGAGACCGACTTATTTTTTTTTTTTGGCCTAATAGCACTTCATAATATATATTTTGGTAATTCACAATATGTAAGTTGATTCATTGATATGTGTCGTACATGAATCCATAAACATTCTATAATTAAATTAAGGCTCTCAACAATATACAGTAAGAAAATGCTTATCCTGAAGCATCACACAGTCTAATGTACAAAACCTACTCGAGGCAGCGAAATAATACTCCAAACTGCTGGGAAAACCAACCAAAATCTTTGTCATATTTTAAGACCAATCACTCCATAATTATTTCCTTAATGCATGTACATGTGTAACCAACGCTGATATTTTTAGGATCTATAGTTTGTCCCGTCGTGTTTTTCGTGGTGTTTAAACCATGGCTTCGTCTTTTGCCTCGAGAGAATTTAAGACATCTGGCTTCTAGAGTTTAAGTTCATGTTCTGCTTTTAGAAAAGAAAAAAAATTGTACACAAAAATGTAGTACGAGGTAAAAGATGGGAGAATTTTCATTTGAATTCAATATGAATGGATTCAAAATCTGTCTGAAGCTGAGCTTCATAGTCACCCCGGCCCGCATATCTGACAAAATATTACATCCCGGCTGTAAAAGTCAATCGGAATTACGAGTATTTATCAATCTTCAGAGTGACTTTGTTTTGACGGTGCTTTATCCCCCTAGTAACCCAAGGCACAGCTTTTGTATGACGGCACATCATCTTGTTCGGAAGATTTTAATTTGGTCAGAAATTAACGACAATTTTTACCAAGTGACAGAAAGAATGAATTTCTTAAAAAATTACGTTTGGGCATAATCAAGCGTCATTTAACTGTGACTCGTGATAGTCAATCTCAAATATGACGTGTGTGTTTGTGATGACTGACAGAGCACACAGTCCAAAACGTCGTGTTACCAGGCCAGCCCTGTATTTTTTTCAGAACCACACACATTGTCAAAAGAGATTTGACTACATTTTATTACCGCAAACTTTACATCTTTTGACTTTACATAAAATAATCTCAAACATCTTCACCGTAATTTCCATACGATTTTATAATTTTAATTCCTGATGGAATATCACAGGCCGTATTACTAAACCTGATATAAGCGATCCAACTCAAGAGATTGTATTCCTTGTCTTCCCATTGTGACCACATTCCACGAAGCGAGCCGTAAGAACATTATTTCCACCCTTTATTTTTTTATGGCAAAAGGGATGAGGGTCTGTTAACCTCAACACGGCGTCTTAAAACCGCCCAAAAGGCGCCCCCATCTGGCCTATGGGTGCAACCAAGTTAATAAATTCCCATTGAGCAGTGATAAATCTCCATACTTTAATTTTTTTTTTAAATACTCTGAGCTCTCACAGTCACAGATGTTCAGGCTGCACAGAAAATGATGATCAACATGTCGTCTTTCCTATTCCTTTCAATTTTTTGGTGGTTGACGAATTACCTTTTGGAGAAATTCTCACCCAAAGAAGACCACCCCGAAAAGGAATATTTCCCAAACTGGAAAAGTAGCCATTTTGAAAAAGGATCCCTCCACAATATAGCTAAATAGCGCCACTTTCGGACCCACTTGCATCCAAAATGCTCAGAATTGGAAGCCCAAATCCAGGCCAGAGGTACAGTGCAATAATCCCCAATGCCATGGCTCTTGGAACTCTCTAATATGGAATAATTTGAATGCACATGTATAACAATAATTATTCATGAGCTCGGCGGACGAATTTTTGGCCGATTTACTTGGTTGCACCCATATGGGAAGGGCACTCACGAGTCTTGCTCTACAGTTTAGTTCCTTCCTGCTCAGGTGGCATGGTCTTGCTAAGTCGGTTGGTCTTGAGATTATTGCTCCCACTCGTGGCTGTCCGGCTTGCGCGTGTGTGGGTGGTCCGACCGGACAGACTCTGCAGCAGGGCAAGACGCTTCCTCAAACCTTTCTTTATCTGTAGCTCGGATGAAGAAGACCATAATCACAAAACTAACTCAAGGGGATGAGATGAGAGTTTGCCTGTGGAGTCACTGACTGAGCCACTGACTGAGCCACTCAGCTTCCCGAGTTACTGACTGAGTCACTGAGTCACTGACTGAGTCACTGACTAACACTGCTAACTGTTTTCAAGCTTTTGGGGGGAAATTTCTACTAGGAAAGCCTACTCTCTGTTTTTTGTAACTACATGTATACAAATTATTTAGAGTTAAGATTATGCCAATCTTATATACTGATTGTAATACCGACCAAATTAATTGCATGCTCGTGGTAAAAGAATCTCCAACAAAGTCTTTGAAGAATTTGATCACTTTAATAGCCCACAGAGCAAAGCATGTGGCGTTTTTTCCCGTCCAACCCCCCCCCCCCTCCCCAAATTGTAGGTGTTTCAATTTTGAAATCGATACATGTTCTTTGGCTATGCGTGAGTGCAGCAATGGAAATGGTTGGGTTGGGAATGAAAGATGAGCGAATTGAATGTATGGTTTGAACACCTATAAGTGAAATGATTAACTTTTAATAGTTGGCTGATTACCATGAGAAGGGTTTTCTATATGGCGATTGTAAGCAAGGAGCTCGAAACTAAATGTGTTTTGGGAGGGGATATGTGGAGCATGATTGATGATCAACCTATTTCTTCTTTATATTACCGTGAATGAACAAAATAAAAATACATTTCTTGACTAGCAACTAATGATTAAGCAGCTTTAAGATTTCCAGGCAAGCTTGAATCATGTTAGCACGCATGTCCTTCATTGATTTCAGCTCAGACACTCAGAAAAAAAATTACCAATACATGTTTGTATTATGGTGTAAAACGAGGACATCTGATGGTCCTCCTTTTTTGTTTTGTAATCATGTTGTAATCGAGGACTGTTCTCACTGGGGTGCATGTCCTCAAAATGTAAATACCTCATGTGTCATCTCTCATTATAATTTTGTACAGGTTTCCAATCGAGGACTGTCCTCACTTGGGTACTTGTCCTCAATCAGTAAAGGACTTTCCATGCACATTGTATCACCTCTCATATCTGTGCACGTTTTCCATGGCTGTCCTCACTGGGGTTCGTGTCCGCACTTGGGTTCATGTCCTCAATAAGGAAAGGAGTTTCTCAATGTGTGTCCTCGATTTACACCATAGACATGTGTACACAAAAATTATGACAATGACTCCAAGCAGCAGTGACATTTTAAGCAGCGGTGACATTTTAAGCAGCGGTGAATATATTTTTATGCACACCACGCACCATCAATGTTGCAAGCAATGCCAAAAGCGGAGGCCTCCCTACCTTTTTAGAAAACTCCGGATTTCTTTTTGCGATTCGGTTTTTTTAGGCTCTGATATTTTGGCGTCGTTGGTGTTGGGTGGGGTATAGGCAGCAGATCGACTACGTCTTTTCCTCTCTGATCGTGACCGTATAACACTCCTTAGCTTTTTATTCAAGAGTGTAAGTATCCGTGGGTTGGCGGCAAGGTGTTAGAATTAAACAAAAACGTGCAAATCAAAGGAAACAGTCTGGATAGCAAGGAAGAAAAACTCTGCAAGAAGTGAGTTTTGAATAATTGAAAATAATTACATCAGTAAAGAGGGGAGGTTTGTGCCATCATTTTAAAAAGGTGTCCGACGAAACGGATGATCAAAACATTTAAAGTTTCGATAGGGATCATAATTCAACAAAAAGCAAAACAAATCGAAAAGTTCTAATCTACCACAGAAATTCAAAGAAAACTGACGCTAAATGTGAGATAGATGCCATTAGTGGCTATCATAAGGGAAAAAGTGATCGATAGAAATGACAGATTCTGATAAGACTAACTGAGGTGAGAAGTGAGCTTACCTCGTCATTCAGTAGGCAGTATAGGATGAATATGAAGACGCCCTAGAACAAAATAAGAAAAGAGTGTACAATCAGTCGCAGTTATCACCATGGGTTGTTAAGCCCCTGTCACACAGTGCCGTTCTCTAGCCCCGTGCGTGATGCGATGGTCACGATCAAAAATAAATATTGAAACGTGGCTAGGACGCGGGAAATGAAAAAATTATGGCTTCAGCCTTGGATGCCAGACCATAATCCGTGTGTGCCCCGTCCTCGTCCGTCCTCGTCCAGTCCAAGCCGGCCAAGCCGTTGGCGTCAAGTCTATTATGTGCTCATCCCGTGTTAGCAGCGAGCGGAGGTCTGGGTAGGCACTGTGCAGATATTCACTGTCGGTACTCAGTATTTTGACGTTTATCCCCGGAAATAGGTAAAACCTAAAAATGGTATTGTTTATACATCATCCCAATTCGCTCGAAAATTAATATGTCCCTTTCCTTAGCCCACACCTTTCAGTTCTGTGTCTAAAGACCCTATATCATTGTAATCGTGTTAAACCAAAACGTCTCTTCTGCACAAGCGATAATCTCCATCACTCGGTTTGGAAAGTTGGAGGAGAAAGTTAAACCTACTTGCAGAGAGTTGAGAATGACGAAGATGTAGGCGAAGACGATTGTGGATGAGTTGAAAGACAGCATGCCTATCAGCCAAGTACAGCCCAGTAGCGGTAAGGTCAGGAGGATTGCCCGCAATGCTATTCTGTCAAAATAAAAGTGTGGAATATGGAGAGCTTAATTATTGGTCACAAAATATTTCCAACTTCGTTCCAAAGCTTTCAGATATGAAAATTGAGCACAACTTCCTGGAGAGCAAACTGTTGATAACAAGTAAACGGAAGCCCTATTTTTATAAAAGTATCCATTCGTACCCATAGTGTGTGTGTCTCTTAAATGTATTTACATGTATGTCAATGCATTTCTGCATGGTGTGAAAGCAAAATATACATGTAGTTACAATGATTGCCTTGAAACTTGTTAGATACAGAGGTGATATTTTCATACGAGATAAGATAACTGTAAATGTGTGTGCATTCCCATGCTTGAATAACTGACCTGATTCTTTCGACCTTTTTCTTGTTCATGTTGGCCCTCAGACTGAGAAACACGCGGATGACTTGCACCAAAACGCAGATGTTGATCTAGAAATAAACAACACAAGACTCATTTAAAGACAAAATAAAATTCAAGAAACTGGATAAAGATTCCGAAAGAGATTGGTTTAGCTTTAATCTCGGAGCAGCAAATATGTTATTGAACCATCAAGTAATGAAGGAACGGGGTATAATCTTAGCGATATTTACCAAGACGACTGCTGCGGCCGGACCGACAAATGCCCAAATCCCTCCGTCTCGGACGGTCAGCCAGCATCTTGGGGGACAAATGGGGGAGAGGGGAGAATCATTTATATCAGGAGATAGAAATGGCTTTAGAGTACGTTAGAAAAAAGGGCTAGGGCTCTTCTTATTCAAAACAAAGCAATTCGATATTTGCACTACAGAAAAGATGCCGATGCATACGTAAAATGTTACGGTATAACCTTTCATCGGAAAGTCTATGTACATCAATAAATATTTGAATAGGTTTCGCTTTCGGCTATATCTCAAGGTTTGGGAAGCACTTTTACAACATGTAAGCACGACAAGTTGTAAATTTTCTTGCACTAGATAATGATGCTTTTATTATTCATCAGGTTCCTGAATGCTTTTTACATTATACATTAAAAACGAGGAATATTCCTACATGCAATGACCTAGACCGCGAAGTTTGTAAATGGCTTGTCCACAACGACCGCTTGGGGGCGCACTAGGAGCAGTTTTGAAAGGAATTCCCCACTGCACCACTGTCAAGACACAAATCACGTTTCTATCTGAAATCTCTGACATTTGTGCGCAATGCAACCGATCATGAGATCCATGAATGAATGTAGGCTATTATTTGCCAGCCTTTCGTTGAAGCGATGTCAAATCGATAATACGCGGTTTCGGGTTGCAACAGTATTGCGTCGAACACGTAGTTGTACTGTACCATGGCCGCCTATATCTTTCAACCCAACAGGCCAAGACCAGTATGGCTTCGGTTTTTTAAGGGGAGTTATGTACCTGTCCGTAGTATCGTAGGAATCAAATGAAGCCGCCATGGTGACACCGACGATAACGAGAGGAAACACTGTGCAAACAAGACGGAAAGAAGGTATGAAAATATTACTTAAATATGTTAATCAAAACGTGACATTTGTTTAGATAAAAATATTTTGAAAGATTATACACGATTGGTGAGGTCTATCAGAAGACATTTGCAATTCGTTGCATCAATCTTCCTGATGTACGTATCATCACAGTAACAGATTTTTATCATGTAGGTCTATTTGAGGTATTATTTGTTCTTACCCCAGCCAAGGGTGAAGTAAGTGGGAAGTCTCAACCATCTCGTCTTGGCTGATGTCGTCTTGGAGAGAAGAAAGATGCCCTCATTCAGCATCCAGAAGAAAGTAGCGAGGAGAAAGAAATGCACACAGATACCCACGGCCTTGCAGGCGCCCTGTCATACAAAAACATCAAGTTCCATCATGAAACAAAAATCAATTTATTAACCGAAAGGTGTGTTACCCCTTGTAAACTTTAAATGATCATATTTACAAGATTAGTCAATAGACTTCAGATTGCGGTGGCAAAATCGTTTTAAATTTTGGTTGATCTTGGGAAATTTTTGCTAATAAAAAATTGTGCATTTCGATTTTGATTTTGCCAAGGGGTGGATCGACAAATTGGTGGCGCTGTTCAACGCCAAATCTTGTTTACGAATTCAATGTTCGTTCCATGTCTGTGCAAGTTTGAAGTTTGCAGCTCATTCTTCACCGAGACATTATTTTGGAAGTATAGATAAATTTATGCCCGTTTAAGATCAATTATAACATTTGTTTACCTCATTTTCTGTCCTGTCTATTCCGAAGACAAAGATGAGCTGTGCCAATAGGAGAGATGCAGCTAGGTTCATGTGGATGATGTTCCTGTCTGCTCGGTACATCCTACAAGAGAAAAATCAAGACATATTGCGTTCCAACTTGAAGGAAGTATTGAGTTCGGGAGGAGTGGCGGAAACCATATTCTCGTACTTTTAAGGTAAGGTCGCTATTTTCAACCATGGATCGATGTACACGGCGTCTGTTGTAACACTTGTTGCCAATCAATCAACAGGTCCAGTTTAATGAAAGTTCTACTTAGGATTCAATATTATTTTGTGGCTCACTCCATTTGAAACATTCACAGTTGATTCCCCCATGACGTACATTTTGATAAAACGCTTAAACGATGATGTACAACGCATATCATGATGCACAATAAACTTTGAAATATTGTTTTTAGGGAGAAAATGGCCCAGATTTAATAGGGGAATGTACTTTAGTTTTATCGTAAATTAAAGAGAAATTTAGGGGTTTTGTTTGGTACCTTTGACTGAGGAAGATAATAAGCATGATTGTGAGGCACGTCATCGACAATGCACAGCCGGCCCAGGTCAGGTAGTCCAGTGCTACAGGTAGAGGATCCTAGATCGATTATCAAAACAAAATTGAAATACAAAAGAGTGAAAGATTTATGGCCCGTGCAACATTATTTTTCGTAGTTAAATATCACCGGACGACTACACAAAATAGATATCAAATATTTGTTCGTAAGAGATGACATTTCAGTGATCGCATCTTGAGGTTTATATACCTCTTTCTAAAACCCTATTTACGCCATAACTCATAGAATCCAATCAAACCCACCTCACTGTGTGATATTTGCATGATGACAGCGAAGCTGGTCAGATGTGTGATGTCACATGTCGTATGTGTGTCATTGGCCTTGGCAACAAAACACCCCTCGGATGACCACACCCCTTCATTCCTGAAATAAATAACAGTTGTATAAACATGAAACGCAAAATGAAACCGATTTTAAACCGGAAACGGAGAAAATTGACAGCAGCTATTCGAACTCAGACCTATTAAATAGCGTACTTTTGATACTGTTACATACCTTGAATAAAATAGGCATGGATTAAGTTTTTTAAATGTCATCGAAAATGGACATAAGCTCCCAAGGATTTTTTTAATTACTCTTCAAATAATCCTTCGGGGAAAATGACACGAAGCCGAAACGAATTCCCAACCATACGGCGCCAGACAGACGAAACTGATATCTCCAAATATTGAACATTGCTTGCTTGTTTTCGTGCGCACGTACCGTTATCTGTCTGACATACCGAGAAGTGTTTTAGTTTACCCAGGGTCGTGTTGCATGATCGGTACATCGTCAATCTTTGGTTGTCATTACTTCGGGTCTTAATGGAAATCTTGGTTTGAGATTTCCCTTTTATGCTCTTGATTTGACACGAACAGATACCATGTCGCCGGGATATTTGTTAGGCATAAGGCCCACTGCCATACTGTTGCATAAATATTCAAACAGCAGACGGCTTCGATTCATTAGTTTCTTTACTCGGAAAGACCTTGTGAAATAACCAGAGTGTTAAAATTGCTGTTGATTTAAACACTATATACAATGCATTACCGTGAAGAGTGAAGAGTGTTTTTGCTGGGAAGCTCTACCGCTTTAGTTTCATTTCTGAATTCTACACTTTTATTTCTTCTTTCCATTTTATGAACATTTTCTGGCCGGCAAAGTCGACTTGTGGTGTGAACTGAGCTCAGATGTAGCCGTATCGTCAGCTTGGTCGATGTATACCTAATTATTCTTAAGCCTATGCGCTGGTCTTGTATGCAAGGATGAAGATGATCTATTTAAAAAAAAAATGCCATCCGACCTCCATTCCTCAAAACCTCTCCTAAATGAATATCCTTACTTTTGACAATTACGTGCATATCATACAATTGCCAACCAGGTTTTGGGTAGGAAAAGCAATAAACAGTGTGCAACGTTCTGAAACATGCATCCCGTATATACACGCATGCGCGCACATGCGTAATTGCCGCAAAGGAAGCGGGTTACGGTTCGAAACCTGTACACCTAAACAATTTCACGGTAACAGAGTTTATATATTCAGCCCAGAAGGAGCGTATGTATTATTTTGTTCCAAGAATTATATTACTTCAGCATTGACGACACTTCTGTCAATATATAAACGTCATATAGTGACGTAAACATACCATCAAGCGCTTTCCATTTTCATTTGAAAATCGGTCAAGCGCTACAAAACATGAAATGTACTTGCTATTATTCACAGATGTTTTTACCATACCCAGGTTTTTGATACTAAGTCACAGGGTTTTTGCACATGCCTTCCAACGAACCGAACAGAAAATGTCCAGCCGGTTTTTTTAAAGAGCGATCAACTATTAAGGTGACTCTTACTATAATGTTATTGGGAATCACCTGTTTAATGACGCACCTGTTTTGTCGCTAAACCTTATCGTGGTCGATCAGAAAACACGAAAAACAAGAACTGTATGAAACTCGTACTCACCCTTCATCCGCTTTCCAGTACCGACAGGTCGGCGTTGAGTCAGGAAATTTCTAGAAGGAAATGTATACACAAGTTTTTTGCCTGATTTTATTAAAGCGAAATTAAGTTTATTTTCAGTCTGTAACATTATACTTTTTAATTGGGCAGAACCCGAAATCGCACTTAAAGTTTACCTCCGATAGTTTACTGAGTAGCATACATAAAGCTAAATAATAACCCGATAGTGTACTGAGCTAAATTGAGATAATTAATTTGAAATTTGGTAACAAGATATACAGTAATGTTTGCGTTTCAGGTTTGAATAAAAAATAAAACAAACTTGCTCTCTTGACTTTCTGACTTACCTCCAAACTGGAGAAGGTGAGTTTCAGCGGTTCGTCTTTGGTTAGCTCAATACTTTCCCTGTCCCATCGCCGGAGGGAGATGGTACTGACAAGGCTACCGATCTCGGTCCTTCCTCCTTCCCCTCCATCGTCGATTGTGGAAGGTAGCTGCTCGTGAAGGAGACTAGCAGTGGACAGAGCTAGCGTAGCTGACATGCCAAAAAATCGACAGATGATGAATTGATTAATTTCGAAAACTCAATTAATTGATTTAAATTGATTGATTTCGAGTTTATCTTTAACGAAGGAATAAACTACAGATGTATCAACATACCAAACTTTGACATATCTTTAATTAGTCGATATGGCATCAATCTGATTTGTTTTCTGGCATATTTTATCTTGAGGCTTGATGCTTTTTTAAATCGTAAATTGTTGACTCTGCAAGATGGGAAGTCCTTAGTCTCACCTCCAGCCGCTTTGACGGAATCCGGCAGAGATAAGGAGAAGCTCTGGTTCCCCAGCTGTCCTCCGAGAGTTTCTCCGCCCTCACAGTCCAAACACAGCGTCAACACCTTCAGGACTGAAGACAAGAGAATTATTGACGTTTGGAGACAAGTATAAAAGTTCTGTTCTACCAATTTGCTTTGGTGTACCCTCTAGTAAATGGTCTTTATAGGCCTATGCCTACCTGTGTGCCGAGCCAACTGGTTTTAGTTGGGTGTTGGATAAGTTATATTCAAACAGACTGAGTGGTCCAAAGTTCGTTGATACAAGTTCGGACATGTAGTTAAGAAAGGGTAAACTGGCTGACTTTGAAAAAAGAATGTTCGTATATTTGCATCTGATTTAAGTTGAAAACCGGACATGAGAAGTTTTCAGTCTCTTCATAATTATGGATGGCCCTGTTTGGTGGGCTTGATCAATGTACTTTGACATTTCTGTTACCGAAGAGATAAGGTGATACATTGATGTCATTGTACAGGAGGAGTTGTTTGGTGTTCACAGTGGCAGATCGTAGCATTGTCGACAGTACTGTCACAGAGAAATTCGTGATAAAGGTCCCAGTAAAGTTTCGTAAAACAAATCTCATCATTACTGCGACAGTCAAATGCACTCAACCGATTGCTTTATCTGTTGTGCTGAGTGTTAGCAATCTGACGTGCCCTTTTCGAATCCAGCTGCTAGTCATGTGTTGTGTCCTTGGGCAAGCCACTTCACTCTCACTTGCCTCTCTCCACCCAGGAGTATAAATGAGTACCGGCATTAGCTGGGGAGTAAACTGCGATGGACTAGCCTCCCATCCAGGGGAAGTAGAAATATTCTCAGTCGTTTCATACTAGATGAAACCGGAGATAAACGCGGGCTGTATGGGCCACATTGGCTCGTGACAGACTTGACTCCTTTTTTAACTCTCTTTACAGTATATAAGGTCTACTTCTGGATGAGGTTATCACGTGGTGTCGACATGAAAGCACCATGGTGCAGGTGATCCATTTAGACGTCGAGCAAACAATGGCGGCGCTAGATTGCATGAAATCAAGCGAGCAGTCTTTCAATTACGCCTGATGAAGTGAAATTTGATTTGGGGAAGAGAACCTGAAAGACTTTCGTCTATAACTCAATCTTTCACTTTTATTGAATGACCGAAGACGAAGTAATAAAATCAAAAAGACGACTAGTGCGTGTCTCTCAGACACGAGCAAATTACCTCCAAATTGAATTTGTGTTCAGATGGCATTTTTTTTCTTCAGACGTGACGTGTATCGCTAATCGAAGTCTAGACCTTAAAGCGTTGTCGTAGTTGCAAAACGTCGCAGTGGATAACTTTAAAGAGAGATCTTTATCAACCTTAAGAAAAGCATAGAGGAACGGGTGTAGTTCAGGGCGTGTTTCGTCTTGCCGTTTTTACCCGCATCATGTCCATTGCGTCCAAATATTGCAACCGTAGCATTTTGCATTACCAAAATTATAGGTAAAACAACGACATACCTATATCTGGAGTCGATACCACGAGGGCTTTGGCGGGCCCATTAATCGATTCCGCCAAACCGTCTACCACGGAATCGAGGGACTTTATGATGGTAGTAGATTGGTCCTGTGCCTTCTGTCGACACAATTTAAAAAAAAAAATGAGTTAAAAATGTAACAGCCACATCATGTCAACAGACACATTATCATAAGTGTAACTGGTGATTATCACGCATAGTCAGGTGGCACTTCACCATCGAACAGGGAAGCACAAGGAGCATGATTTAAAACCCAAACAAAGCTCTTGATGATGCATTTATTTATCAATATATTGTGGCGTGTTTTTTTTTCAATTCAGTATCTTAAGAGTCGATCCCACTTTTGTACATGATAGTACCGTGTATGTAACGAGAAAACCGTGGTCACGTAACGCCACTGCCTACCGTATTTGATGATGCATTCAGCGACGAATACTGCGAGAAAGAAATGAGGCTGTCGATTTCTTCCAAGACACCGGTGTCGTTCTAGAAAAGAAAAGGACAGATAAAAATGCTGAGAGTTCCAGGTCATTCAAGTTTTTGAATATTCCAATATTAAATTACATATTGTATGTAGTAGACAGCAAAATAGCTGCATTGTGTTGCATAAACTAGTGGAATTTTATCAATTTGTCCTTGTCACAATGGTTTCGAAATGTGCAGCAATGACCATTCCAACCACGTCTTCTTTGTGACATACTCATACCATGATGGTATTAAATGTTAATAAATTGGACTGAAGAAAGCGTCTTACCGTAAACGTCTTGAGATAGTTGGAGACATCGTCTCGGACTTGGGTGAGTTCCTCACGGAACGCCTCCAGTGTTTCTTCCTCTTTCTGGAGCAAGAAAAAAGTTTCTGGTTCGGTTCAACTTCAGAATTTGTGTCGGGGAGGTCTTTAGAGAAAGGCCAATTCGGTTCGTACGTGTGACGTCATTTCAACTTAAACCACTCGAATGACGCACGCGCGCGTTCTCCCGAGGCGCCAGTGTGATTGGTCTACAGGGCACCGAGTGCGCGCGTACCACCTGTGCGCGCGTACCACCTGCCGATCGCTTGGTGCTACTTCTTTATGATTAGCTTACCGTTCTGGGTGACGTAGGTGGATGGGTGGATCCCGGACCGACTGCATCCATTACCGTCGTAAGAGGCATTTTGGTGGGCATGGGCTGGCGACATTTCAAGCTTTTCGACACTAAAAGGACGAGAAATAAGTTTGGTTATGCTAATTTGCTTACAGCAACCATATGCATTGTACCAAAAAGTTGCAGAAGTAATAAGAAATTGGAAAACTTAGAAGGACTTTCAGTTGAATATCTGACCTTTGAATTTACAGGAGTAGCGGTTGACCCGTGATGACTCCGAGGAGTACAGTGTCTTGTTGAGGATGTAGACGAAGTTGAGATCGGGCACTGGGTGACCGTCTGCCCACGGCCAGCTGTCTTGAGGCTGAAGGGTCTCCGTGCCGTCTAGCCAGCGGAATGTGGAGTTAGACTTAGTCGCACGGACGAAGAAAAAGTGAAGAGGAAAAAATAAGTATACACTGTCATTATTCTGACGATAGACAACTCATGTTGATGTCTTTACTACATAAGCTAGATTACTTGCTACTAGCATGTGAAGAATCCATTCAGATTTCCAAGACTTGCCAGTCAATAGTTTGGACTGGTACTTACGGTGTCCCTGAAGAGACCAAGCCACACTTCCTGGTCCGTCACAAAGATACGTCTGTCTTCCAGCCCCTTGAGGGCGCTCTCTCCGAATGATTCCAGACTGAGCAGCGAGGCGTCCCATCGTCGCTGGCAGTAATTTTGGGCGCCGCTCCACGTCTTTTGATCCAAAATGTTCGGCTCTAGAATGCCGTTGATTGGACTGAGGCAGTGCTTCTTGTATGGAATCCAGTTTGTCGGGCATGATACCCGCTCTGAGGGAAAACAAATCATGAAAATCGATTATTGATAATCGATGATCATATTTATCGATTATGTGCGTTATCCAGATTGTGGTAGGGAAGTTTGTCAGCGAAAATTAACGAGGCAGAAAATTTTTAATGGACCTTTTGCATTCGGCAGCCATCTTTGAGGTGTTTCTTGTTAATTTGGTAACAATGCCATGAGGTCTGCTATTGTGCGTATCCCTGTGCTGCAAGAGCACGTGCCCCTAAGATGGCTGTAAGGTAAAAGGTCTGTTAACGTTTACGCTACAATTCAAAAGCAACGTTGTTAAAATCCCAGGTACAGAACAGAAAGTGTTCAACATGTTAGTATTCGAAATGATCACTACGAACTATTAATTGTTGATTGCTACGAAGTCATTACTTTGTCACACCTATACCTACTAACGTTAGTGCTTAAAACTATGAAGTGTAATTATTAGAAATACACTGTATGATATACTGCATGGACAGACTGAAATGGGATGTGATATGTAGACGGTCATGTCGTTAGTCTAGTGTAAAATTCTAGATATTCTATATATTTTTGGCGACTTTAGTGTAGATTTCCATTGATCAATTCGCACGTCGTTAGGAATGGGGCTTCATGAGTTTATCTGGGTGTTATGGCATCTACGTGTTTTATGACTGATTGCAATTGAGCACACTAGATGAGGGTGGTCATTGACAAGACTTAGTTTGCTTGTGAACAATGATGTTAATGTAACTTCAATGACGTATCGAAATTCGTTAAAATACGTGTGTGCAGTATTAGAGTGAAGTTAACACACTCTGGAATTCCGTGCCAAGTGAACTGCAACCCTTGATAAACTAAACTTACCACTGACAGGGTCGGTCTTAGTAACTGAGAGAGAAAAAGAAAAGTCAACTCCATTTGCCAAAAATCACGCTTGAAAGTAAAATATGGTCAACATAAGATGAATGTGGTCGCTTATGGTAAGCGTTATTAGGAGAATCCAGAATGTTATAAGGAATTTTGAGGTTATGCCATTTCATGTATAGGTCACACCATGAATACATTGCAAGATACACATTAGTCTAAGAACTGAGAGAAAAAAATATCGTTGGAAATTATGGAAAAGCTGACACGACATCAAAGTGCGCCGGCCACCGGTTGCCTCGGAAAGCCCTTTTATTAACTTCGCGGTCGACGTACTGTAGGTCTGTTCTCGTTCATCGTTCATCTATTCTTTACTGTTTGCGATTAGTACAAGACAAAAGCAAACGCACACATGCGCCTCGTAGACAAAACCTTTGCTGTTCACAGAAATTATACATAATTCAAACGTCAAAGCATTAAAACTGCTCATTAATTTTAATACATGATCGGCTAGAGCAAAATTAGCCTCTTACTGTATAGATTTGCCAAAGGAGGACGACTTTTCCGATGATGCACCGCAGGTATTGCGGGATTTTTACCGACAGCGGCAGCTTTTCTCTATACAGTATGTTATTACTCATACTGCAGCGTCCCTTTGGCAATTTTGGAGAAGCTGAAAACAATTTCCGAGTGATATGGAATCGTCCACGCGGAAACTTCAACACGCGTCGGCAAAATGAGACGGTCGGCCATGGCACATGGGAAATCTAATGAGCAAACAAGCTAGTTCCGTCATCCAGAACAGTCGCCTGCATCTGAGCAGGCCGAAGTCATAACTGATGGCGCAACCAACACTCCTCTTCGTTATGATAACAACTAGCAGTAGGAGGTGTTGGTGATGTACTGAGGCGATTCTAGACAGGAGAAATTCTCCGAGGATTAGAATCGCAGATGTCAAAAGAAATACACCGTCTGATGCGCTACAAGTGTAGGAAGAAATATCTTCATACTGAAACAAGTCAGTTAAAGTGTTTCACTTGAAGTCCCTAGATCAACATAAAGACACAAAAACGTACAAGGTTGTGTTATTTTTATACAATTATATATTTATTGAGTTTAATTCCCTCTGGTAAAGGGTGCCTCAAAAGTCGACACACAGACACACTGTATACCAAAACCTGTGTGATTTTGGACCGCCTGAGGATGTTTTAAAAGCAACCTGTGCCAAATTCTGAATTGATTAGTCGCTTATGGCAAACGTCTGTGACCACAGCCGGATGCAACCTGTTCGCTTGCCCCGTTGTATGCAAGTTTCCTCGTTGACGCGAGGTTTAAAAGTCCATACGAGGCCTTGGTCAAGGCTAGGTAATTAATGCACACCAAAAAAAACCTGTTGCCATGATTCGCTGACGCACGATCTGACACGAACTGCGTTTTGTGCTGGTATAGGTCACACAAAATGCAAGCTCAAGTAATAATTAGAAGATTTGCATACCAAAAAAATTATAGAAACCTTTGGGAATTATAAACCACACGGCAGCCTTATGAATAAAATTCCCGGCCACATGGGGTTTATTTTTATTGTTTTGAAAATAATTAAATGTAATGGTTAGTGATGCATGCCGCTGTTACAGTAAAAGAGCGCAGTATTGGTATGAAATGTCCGGGTATTTCTGAACCACCGCAGTTGGTTTTAACTTTCAGTATCTAAAAATGCCAAATATTGACAGAGTGGTATCAGTGTGCTTTTATGAACGATAGTTTATGAATGTCTGAATGTGCAACAAATCCAACAACATATTCCTTTTCCGTGACATTTTCATGGCATGACTGTTGTCTCTTTCTGGCAGATGAAGCACCGTCAGAGGGTGTCATTATCCTCCACCCGCCACCACCTTTCCAATGCAAGGTGAGGTGTCGTGAACTCATCCAAAATTTCACACCTGCCAATTCATGGAAACAGTATTATACTTGAAGACTGCATTCACTCACCGTGAAAATCAATTATGCACCCACCTGTCTTTTATCTTACAACACCTTTTTTAGTCAGAGGAACATTTTACCAGAATTGCGTTTTACCTTTCTGTTCACACTGAGTGCATGGGCTTATCTTGTCATTATTTTATACGTAATCAATTAATGAATACTAAATGTTTGTTGTTTTGATAAATGCACGAACGTCTTGTAAGAACAGCTTGTAAATTCGTATAATGTTAGTGTTTACAATCCGTGCAGTGGTGGCTCATTGTCTGTCCGATGTAAGCCCATGAAAACATTAAAGCATTTTCGTTTCAACTTTCAATAAAAACGCTGTCATACCATGTAAATATAAACACTGGTCGTGTGGCTCGATATACGTCATAGATACTAAATTCGTTGGTACATGTTGAAGGAATAATTCACACGGGCCAGCGGTTTTGAATGGAAATCTGCATAAATTAGTTTCTAAAAAAATCTGATTGACTTCACAAAACAGCAGTACAACTCCTTATGTCATATCTGTACACTCGACCCATTCTCTCTGTTTTTATTTAGGGTGGGGAGTTGGGGTGGGGAGTTGGGGTGGGGTGGGGATGTCGACTGTACCTTTCTTGTACACACACTCGGCGTTGTTCACACATTGCCCCACAGATTGGCTGTCACGTGACAGCATACACGTGACGGAGGTGTTTCCACCCGGCGTCGTTTCGCAGCCCAGGTAGGCGATGTTACCAGCCGCTCCGTCGTCAGACCCGGTGCAGTTCGCCTGTTGAATTGACACAAGTTAAAGAAAACGCTTCCAGATTAATGAACCTGTCGCATCCCCCGAGACATTAATCCCAGAGATGTTCATTCAAAAAGTGCACTTAGACCCTGCCATTCGTTCCATGCATGAAATTGCAATTAATTTTGAAGTCTCATCCCGCCGAATTACCGGTGAAAGTGGCTCGGCATGAGTGATTTAAGAGACAATTAGGCTGGAAAATTGAAATCATAATGGATGGCTTTTTCTTGTTAATGTTGAAACTGATGTGGCGCCGCACTTCAAAGCACCGGACCGGGGCCAATAAAGTGTGCTGACTGGAAAATGGATTTCACTGGAATAGACCAATTAAGGCTATGTTCATGATGTCTCATGTTAAGAAGTGATCTCGGCCTACATAGCAACAAAATTAGGCGAAGTATGCCTATTTATTTAGGCTACCAGCCAATGAAGGCAGCCGACTTCAACAATCATCATTGCACAAATGAATGAATCGGACATAGACCTTTTACAGATAGCCGCCAGACCGGAAAGTGCAATAAAGGTATATGTTAGATGCATTGTGGGACATTTTGTGCCGCACAAAATCTCCATTTGTCACGAAAACTGCCCCAGGATGCACTGCGCAGCATACCTTCACTGCACACTTCCGAGTATAATATGCACTCAAGTATGCACTCAGATCGCACGAGGGGCGAGCTTTGCTGCGTCTTGCATGTACTATTGTGAATCTAACGATGGTTACCAGTCGGGTTAGGCCCCAATTCCAAAACTCGGAGACGTCTCCATTTCGGCTTCGCCTGGTATATGGGTCCCCAACTTTGAAAATACCAGCTCAACATATTAGTCAATATTATTTTTGTTACAGAAATATCAAACTGTTTGATATATGAAGTAAGCGATTTTTTTGTTTTAATTTGATCGGAACAGTAAAAGTTTTTTTTAAAGATAAAGCCAAAACGGAAACGCAGCCGAGCTTTGAGAAAGGGCCATCATGTTTAATTTTTAGCCGTGGCGGCTACCTGACCTACAATGTATAGACGTCAGGGCATCGGGAATTGTCAGGTAAGGGAACCAGACTAATACCTCATTATCCACGAACATCTCTCCTCCGACACAGTCCGTCACGCCCTTGTCACACTCGAACCAGCTCGAGCCCACCGTCACGCTGCAGTTCCTGGTCGTGGCTGCTCGGGTCAGCTGCTTGACCAGGTGACACGGGTATCCGCTGACCTCCAGGCAGATCTGGGCAGTGCGCATGCCCTCCATGATGCCCATCAAGCATGCGCAGAGGTCGTCACAGGTCTCGTTGTGCCAGAGGGCGCGAGAGACATCCCAAAGACTGGATATCTGAGGAAACACAGACCATATGAGAGGGAATAGACAAATTTTAGTTTATAATATATTTTTTGTTACTTTTTGTTTGATAATTTTGTCATCGTTATGTGCCACAGCATTTTGCATATTACATGATGGGGTGTTTAGACAGCGCTTTAAACTTTTCAATAAGGCCATATGCCCTCTATGAACGCAGACATGAAAGGTCTAATACCCTCTCCCATACCCCCACCCCCACCCCCAATCCAGAAAGTCTTCAGCATCTTCAGTAAAAAAAAAAAAAAGAATATAATACACTGGAAATAAATCACAATTATGCTCATAAAAGCATCATAAAACTGTCTTATAATAAAAAAAAATCTTTATAAAAGTGATTGTACAAACAGAAGGTTGTCGAGACTATTCGAATAAAGGTGCGTTTGTATCGGTCCTTCAATAAATGTTTCGCTTCTAATTTTTTTCCAATTATTTCTTATCGGAAGGCCAGGATGTGTAGTCGGTGCATGATATTTGCTCATTAGGGCAGGCAGCGTAGTGCGTGAAATTACACATGACAGAAAACAGCTCAGAACAGTCATACTTCATGTTTCAATGTCAGACGTGTCTTACAGATCCACAGTCATGTTCTATTTCTATCTTCCATCGCTGGTGACAGGTTCAACATTCAAGGATTCCATGTTTTGAATGGATACCATACGGCACGTAGGCGGACATCGACCCCCGCTTCAGGTTTTGATTCACGGGATAACTTGATTACGATTCCTCCACGAATGTTCATTCCTCAGCGCCTCGCTATAATTTGCAAACAGCATTGTGTTGTTTTGCCCTTGGACGTTGATATCGCGCTGAGGTAACGGAATTTCGGCGTGGAAACATTATTACAACAAAATAATCAATTTTTACAACGGCAAATGAGAGTCACAAGTATGCAAAAATGGAAAACTTTAAAAAAAAAATAAATAATTAAAGCTCATCCTTCCCATTTCTTTTGTCCTGAGGGCCTAGGGGTGCGGATTGTTTTTTGTATTAAACTATGCCCAAAAACACTCAGAAATATTATTGATATACAAACACAACGACAGTGAAGAATTAATTGTTTTGTACCATTTATTGTTCACTTCGAACTTAACATATCACCGATTTAATTTTATATAGGCCTTCAAGTGTATTTTTAAATGTTTTCAAAATGTTTGATGGGCCTATTTGCATAAGCCATAAAAATACCTTATTTGACATTATTGGACATTTGAAATTAAAACAATATGTAAGGGGGCAATCTCTAATTCATTGCTATGAAACGTTTAAACTGTGAGTTTGCATTGTAAAGCTACTAATAAACCGACAAGGTTACTATAAAAACCTGATTCAAAAGTCACTCTACTGATCCGAAAAGCGGCCCTTTGCGGAAGAATTAAGTTACGGTGATAATATCACATTATGAAATCGAACTTCATGGGTCGTGGTTGGTATGAGAGTCTTTTACACCGTGCAAAACGACCTTCTCTCGGGTGTGACTTATTGGGAAAACACGCTGGATTCGGCCTTCCGTAGACTTCAGCGATCATCATTATCTCGTATAGTTATACTGAGTGAATACCGTCAGTCAGAGTTTAATTAGATTTAGCAAATGATCTGCCCGGTGATTTCTTTATGTTTTCGGCCATGGGGTGGTCCAGCGCAGCATGCATGGTTACAGGATGCCTGGACATAATAATAGACGTCAATAACCTTGTGTTTGAATATTTTACTATAGTCATTACGCTTGTTTACTTGAACGCATGACATTTTGTTACCATACAAATCTACCCTTGTAGAAGATTTTGTAGTCTATCCTTATTAAAATAGTCAAAACACACGTCGGTCCAGCCATTTCGTTCAAACTCGGTCTATACGTATGTTCAAATGTAAATGTTGACATGATGCTCCATTCTCAGTGCATAACATAACTCGTCACCGACACCACGAAGTAACACCCATCTACATACCAGTAAAAACTAGCAATCGGAGAAAACGGCAACTAAAGTTGAACGCCTTCTAAAACAACACTTTGCGTCAAATGAACCTATAGGCCTACCAGTACAATTTGCATTTAAATTGCTTTATAACGTGCAGCTGGGGTTTAATCATATACCAATTTAACAGAAACACATTATTTTGATAATTGGAAAATAATGAGTTTCGTGATGTCGGACATTTAATATGACAAGTAATGGGGTGATATTTTAACACCTCATTTTGATAATGACATGTTTATTACCGCGCGTGAAGACTGCATCATCGCATGAATAGAATAACTCAGCACTGGAGTAAATTAACGCAACCAAATATACAATAACTCACCACTGGAGTAAATTAACGCGACCAAACATACAATAACTCACTACTGGACTGACTGGAGTAAATTAACGCGACCAAACTTGCAATAACTCATTACTGGAGTATATTAACGCGACCAAACATTATACGACACATTCGCACAATCATCAGCAAAAGACGACAACAGTGCCTTTAAAGTTCTATATCATGAACGAATTTATACAAAATGTGTGGAACTCAAAATAGAGCCTCTGGCGGATATTTTTTTTTCATTTTAAAACAGCTTTAAATTATATATAACCGAAATGTGAATCTCGTTTGGGGGAGACAGTGTCTTCCGCACGATAATTCGGTTAAATTGACAAGATAACTTCATTGATTTGTCAAAATGTGGGACGGCGGCAGTCCTATTTGCTAGGAATGTCCCATCGGCAAAAATGTTGTAAGCCTAACTGTGTCCGCGGGCAAACAGGGTAGGAAATCACCGCAAATTGGGACATCACATGTGCTGGGCGGATGCTGATTGGATTTCTCAAGCTTGTCCAAGTCCACTTTTTGTCACGTGTGTGCAATAGCCAATGGCACACTTTAGAAACAGTGATATCTTTACTCAACCACTCGATTATTGCCTTTGAATACACAGATCGTCGCTATAACGAACACCGCTACAACGAACGGTCTGCTATAACGAACAATCTCTTTCGGACCCCCATCGTATTCGCTGTATCGATGTTCTACTGTAACGCTGGCCGTACTGCATGAGTTTACTGTAGCAACGAAATTTGGCGCTGTAACATTGCTCCAAAAGTGTCCTTTATGGCACAACTGGTGTCAGTCATGTTATTTTCATAACAAGGGTTTTGTAGTACAATAGTGAGTATGCCTGCGGGAATATGAGATATTTTGTAAGATCAGAGAATTTTGTTTGAAATTTTTTTGCAGTCAATTTTGGTGTCGATATGATGGCGCGGCATACACTGCACATTAGCAATGCAACTTCGTCGGCATCCAGGCTACTCCGTCTATCCATGACAGGAAATTATTCAAACCAGCAGTTGACTATTCCAGCAGTTATCCTACAGATCTGGTATCATTTTTACTGACAAGACCCTACATGCCCTGCATTGCAACCAGTACTATCAATTTACGGATATAAGCGGAGATGAAGTCAGTGAGATGGTTACCATCCGGTTTAATACCGGGGGAGCAAATTACCGGTCCGACAGCGCTCGATTGACGGGGGCGATGGGGACGGGTCACGGGGCGGTCAGCCGGTAAACCTCGCCTCCTTGCTTCCGCTACATGACATCCCCGCAATCGTGGCAATCGCGTCCAGTATATGCGGTAATTTAATTAACTTTGGCGTGCGAATATCAAGATTTTGACGGTTTTCACTTGAATATATCAGCCAAAGGAAGAAATAAACAAACTTCCTATATCAGAATGCATTGCTTGTATTTCACCAAGACCTTTTTGAATACCAAACACCGCACCAAATGTTTGGTATAGCTTTACCCGGCGATATTTACTTCTGAAAAATACATCTGTCGTCTTGGCCATAATCGGCCCCAGCTTGACAACAATCATTCCAGTCAGTTTGGCCACCGTGGGAATGCGTATATCAGCTGGTCACGCTAACGATCGCTTACTATGATTTCCCATGGGGCACTGCGCCAATATGGTTGACATATCCAGCCTTTATATACATCCAGATCGGGTCTCTTATTAAAGGGATGATTCCAGGCGACACAGTCAAGCAATTAGGTGTGTAACATATTTGATCGCTACTCTTGAGGCTGATTCTCAAGAAAATTAGATTTTTACAAATGGACATTTCATTTTATTAAGACAGAAAAGCTTACCATAAGGTATCTGCTTTTGTTCAGGAATTCAATTCAATTCTTCATTGTTCACGTGACAGACAAAATGGAAAATGATGCATGTGCGTTGTAAAAGCTCATTATTAAAAGGAAAAATGGAAATTGGTACAAAAATACTAGAGCTTCTGTTAAGCTAACGGCCAATTTTATGGAGCTGTTTTATACACAGAAGATATTAGCATAAATGAGGCTCCAAGTCAACATGTTGTGATATTTGTATTAGTGGGTTTACAATGCACCGTCACGCAACACGCGTGTCCTTGATGCGCATAAGGAACAACATTCCTCTCTTTTTTTTTGTTCTTCTTTTCTTTTTTGGTCAATCAATAATAGTATCTCCTTTTTCTGTTGAAAAAAGAAAATCAAGGATTATGAACTGCTGCCACGGAGGCCTTTGAGAGGACTTTAAGAGCGTGAATTCAATTTGGCGCCATGGCAACCGGGCTTTAACAAACTGCATTCTCCAGCCAAAATAAAATATAAAAAACGGGGGGAAAGGGGGATAAAAAGACTACATTCAGAGATGGCCTCGCAAACACGAATTGCTAGAAGATTCCCGCGGAGTGCAGGCTTAATGCTGCGCGCCTTGGGGGTGTCAGATGCAATTTTCCTCCGGCTCCTCGCGGTTCGAAGCATAAAACAAAGGCGCGAAAAGTAGTAATGCGTACAGAATTCAGGTCTCTTTCTTGGGATGTGAAGGGATTGGAAGTGTCGGGTCGCAGCGGCATTTCAGGCGTTGAAAATGGCAAATTGATGGGGGAAAAGTAACAGTATAGGTGTGGGATTAGAAGCGACGAAACGGAAGCGAGAATGGAC